CATTTGAAATTCACTGAAGTAATTCATACCTCGCATCCACTTTGTCTTTATACATCATGTCTTTCATGAGACACCAAACGTGGTAATCTGAGGGACTAAGATCCAGTGAACACGGTGGTCAATTCAGAACATTGCCAGAGCCAGGGAACTGTTCGTTCAGATATCACATGATGTTCCTACTGAAATGTAGGGGTGCTCCATCATGTTGGTTAGTACATCTGCAATAGTGATCAAGAGGACTGGCATTCATTTTGCAAAGTCTGTCATAAATATTACCCATCGAACATTGTGGAAATATGTACAATCCAATCAGGTACTCACCAATGACACCACTTGAGAGAAAACAAATTCAGAAGTTGCTTTATGCTGTTCTATGTAAATTGTTGTGGGTCCACAAAGGGCAGTTTCAGATATTACTAATTCCATCAAGGGTAAAATGTGCCTTATCAGTGAACAACATCTATGGCTGGCTTGCAGAAACATGTTCATGCTTGCTGTGTGCATGTACATTTAAAATTCCCATGGCTCCAAAACTATTGAGAATAGGACACATGTTAGTATAATATTTTATTTTTCTTTTCACTCCATGACCTCAGGAATCACCTGAAGTCATGACATAAAGTCACAAGGCACCCCATATCTGATGTTACCAATTTATGCTGTGTAATGCTTAAAATTATTCTTGTAATTACAAGGATGAAAATTCTTGTATCTAGTAACAGCAGACACCACTTCTCTATAATTCCCAATTTCTGCACAGTCCATCCAACTGCCACAGAGAGCACTTTCAGGTACATCACATTTATGCTAATCTTCCTGTGAACAGCTGTCAATCACGAAAGTGTTTACATCCTTGCAGACTGTATTCCAAAGCTAGTTCTGCCATTTAATAAACTAAACCATCAGAGGAAGGTGTATGAAACAGTCTCATATGAACTCCAGGCATGCTTCCTTCCACTTCTGCCTGGTAGGTGTAAAATATGCAAAAATTCTACTTTTCTTCTTCTGGTTTTCTACAGATGAACTTCACATTTTCTTTACTTACAGTTATAATCACCATGTACTCTGTTCCTGCAGCTACCTTAACATAAGCAGTAAACAAAATTAATAACAATTCAAGAAAATTCTTCCTAGTTCAGTGACGGTGTAACACCGGACAACCACTGCACCTCTATATTTGGCCACTTGGTCTGAAGGCAAGTCAACATTGGATTACTTTCTAGCACACATTTCATGTCACATTCCAGTAATACTGCATTTCCTTCTTGGTAAACAACCTGCAACATGTACAGCACTTTCCTTTAATAATAAAGACCTATTCACTTCAAATTTTTCTGAAAACACACATATTACACTTCAATAAAGTTGTTACTGTGAAGACAGAAAATTTAACGAGTTTAGCAAAAATTTACTGCAAGAAAACCAGAAATATATTGACACTGGCAGTACATTTTCAGAACAACATAGCTTCTAAAATGAGATCTATCATTTCTATCCATATCTCAGGAGGAAAGGTCAATATTCAAATATTCTGGGAGATCATAGTATTGGTCATTCTATGCCAAAAAATGTGTATATGTATATGTCATTTTCCTAATGGTTTCCAAGATCGAACTATTTCACTGTACAGTTCCAAAATTGTTGATAAGAAAGAGATATTACATACTGTTTCTAATATTGGTATTTATTGTTCAAGTGACAAAAGTCGGCGCAGTTTACCTAGTATAATACATTCTCGAAAATTCCACTGTCAACATCAATGCACTTTGTAACTCATGTGAGGACATGATGTGTTGCTTATCTGAGAGCATCCTAATGTTCCTTTATGTGGGCGATAACATCCATTATGTGATCGAGCAGTTTGTCTTGTGTATCCACTTTTCTTCTGTACACTTCACTCTTCATCCAACACCATAAACAAAAATCTTATGGGGTCAGCTCAGGAGATGTTGGTGGCCAGTGAATGATACTGCCATGTCTGCTCCATCAATTAGGGAAAGTTTCACTGAGCTGCTGCATCACAAGACAGGTATAATAAGAAGAGGTTCTATCATTCTGAAAGTATATGGAAATCCATGCAGCCAAAGGAATATCCTCTAGTTGTTCTGTTAATCCATTTTGCAGAAAGTCTAGGTAATTATGTCCTGTTATATGATCCTCTAAAATAATGGGACTAATCAACATGCCATCAATCATAATGTATCACACATTGATAAAGAAACCACACTGAAAATTTGTTTCCACAGTACCATGTGGACTGTCATGAGACCACTGATGGAAGTTGTGTGTTGCTGATTCCACTACAGGTGAAAGTAGCTACACCAGTGAACAGTATTAATGGAAGCAACTGGCTATTAGTATGTAACCAATGACAAAATTCTAGACACATAGCACTATCCCCTGGGTGTAGATTTTGCACATGCTGATACAAGCTGTCACGTGCAATGTTTACCATGCACATGTTCGTGAAACACTGAGACATGTAGAAAGTTTCTGTGTGCTAGCAGAAGGACTACAATGTACCATTTCAAGAATGTTTCCTGTTCCTACACATGTTGTTGATGTGCCGTTCAGATGAAACATGAGCACTGGGAAGTATACCACGTCCATGCAATATACTGAATACCTTGGAGAACACTATGATCTGGAATTCTGCACACAGAAAACCGCTGACAGTATTCTTCAACAACAGTAGTGGCATTACCATCGCAGAAGCTGTAAACGTACAGCATATCAGCATATTCAGCATTTCTGAAGATGTGCAGCAATTTTCACAACACTCCTACAATATCACTATCAACAGCCACAACGGCCAACTGATGCTTCACACCTATTCACATGCTTCAGATAGTGGCGCAGTACACTGGGAGAGGACAATAATGGGTGTCAACCCAAACTACTGTACAGTGAAATAGCTCTATCTCAAAAACCGTTTAGGACACATGTACTTGTCCAACATTTTGCTCAGAATTACAGATACCATGACCTCTCAGAATACTGACCTTTCCTCCTGGGACATTATATAGTGCCAAAGATAATAATGAATATTTTACTTATAGAAAATTGGCATTATGGATGCTTTTAAAAATGCAGAAAATTAAAAAACCTGCAATTTTTTAAAAGTATACAATAGGCTATAAGACCTTCACAAGACTCATTCAGGCAACTGTTTAGGTCCTGAGTGATCCTGAATCAGGGGCCTTAATGAACCCAGCATTCCCAGGATCTGCTGTCAACGATGGTAGGACTACTATGGGAACATCCTCTGAGACTAAGATCAATGACTGGAGGAGGGTAACAGAACAGTGGGGGGAATAACTCCAACTGTCAGGTCTGTTCCAGTGGACCAGAAAGCCTCTCTGGAAGGAACTTGGTCTGCTGAGGGGGGAAGGAAGGGGTGGAAACATACCTTCCTCCAAGTTAAATGAAAAGAGTAGGAGGATTTATGCAGATTTATGCTGGCAACTTACTGTGAGAATGGCACATGTAAGGAACAATTCTGTGTTCCACCCGAGGGTAATGCAGGGTCCTGTATTTATGTCAGGAACCATATTTGTGCCCTATCTTTGTTGGAACTCTGTTCCAGGGACATACATATATGGAGGGAGTTGTGAGGAACTTGTCATTACCTCAGTGTACCCTCTGTATAACTCATACAAACCACTGCTGAGGAAATGAGGGCTGTCACTACATGCTGCTGCAGCAGGAAATGATCAGTTCATCATTGGATGTTCTGCAAATGCACACCATATATTATGGGGTAGCACTAGCACCAATCCCAGAGGAGAAAGTCTTATGGAATATCTGATGAGTTCAAACCTATTCTTACCCAATGTAATGAGCCTAGCTGTGTGATTCACAACAGAAAGGAAGTTACCAAATTGACTCCACAAATCAACAAAACAGGAAGCCAGGTACTTAACTGGCATGTATCTGATGAGCCTTCTTTGTCATACTACAGGTACACATTCTTTCAAGTAGGTATGTAGTTGGTTGAAGAGCTATGCTACAAGCCGGAAGGTCGTGGGTTCAAGTCCCGATGAGGTCTGGGGTTGACTCAGCCTCTTAACAGAAACGAGTACCAGGAATTAATTAAATAATTTTCCTGGGGAATAAAGCGCAGCCAGCTCGTAAGGCTGACAACATTACCGCCGTCTTTGAGCTGATTGTCTAGATAATGTGGGACCCTCAATATCTCACAACCCTACGGGCCTTCGTAGCCTCTTACAGGGATAGCTTTACTTTCAACACAGCTATAACTCAAGTTACTTTTCGGGATCCCATGAGAACCAATTGGTATCATACAGAGATGACCTAAGGACAAATTTTGAGATGTTACTGAAATTTTGACTGACCAGTTTCAAAAAGCCATCATCTTATCCGACTAGGCAGTCAATTTTTGAGTACTCAAAGTGGACTCTGAATACATCTTTCAGAGTCTCTCTTCCAATGTGTGGGTATCAGCCATCAGGGAGCTTAAGTGTGCTCAACTTGTTAGTTACATGTTTTGCCATGACCTTCATGAGTCAGGCACTGCCTAGTACATCAGTGATATGGCGGTGCCTCCTCCATGAGGATCTTTAGACTTTTGTAATTTCTTTACTGTAACAGGTAAAGGTCCCCATATAGATGTACCATGTCCTGTCCTACTAGCTACATCAAACAGCTTTCTTCCTCCCCCTGCCCCACATCTTATTCAACTTTATTAGTGGACTGTGGTACTTTCTTTGGTGAGCAGGTTGTCCTGGCTAGACAGTTATTAAGACAGGACAGGATGATGGCTTTTTGAAACTGGTCAGCAGCAACATCTATGTCTTGTATAATGCGAAATTTCAGTACATCTCAAATTTTGTCCTTAGGTCATCTTAGAACTTTGCGGATCGGTGGCATATTTTTATGCCCAGCGCTTTTAAACGTGGTGGACCGGTGGCATATTATGATTTTAGGACACGTTATGTTGAAACACACTATACCTTGCACAGGCGCCAGGCAGACGCATGACTGGTGCATGATAGACCTCTTGAATGTTTGCTTCGTAGTCAGTAACATGACCCTGCTGTTTTCCTTTCACACTCAAAAAGAAAATGCCTTTGTTTATCTTCTAGCTGCATGCACCAGGCAGGAAGTTACTCGTACTAGTGCAAATGGATCGAGGTCGGAAGAGGTTGAGGTCCAAGCGTTTTCTCGGAGAACAAGAAATATCTGACTTCTTCTCCGATGAGCTATCTGACGTCCCTTGTGAGTCTGCTGGTGATAGCGATTCACAATCTGACAGTGAGTGTGGCAGGGGCGAACAAAAAATTGTAGCCAGACAGTGAAAGTGACAGTAGCTCCAACAAAAGTGCGGGTAGCAACATTGCGGGGAGAGCCACATGGGGAAAAGTAGGCAAAACGCCTGCTTTGGGACAGTTTACTGGAAATCCAGGGGTGAAGCAAATTTCATCAGACCCAAATCCACAATTCACAATTCGAGCATGGTTGATGTTCAAAGGAGACATGGACAGGTAAAGAAGCCTGTTTGTATTTCTGAGTATAATATGTTCGTGAAGGGACTTGATAGAGCCGATTAGTACTTGGCCTATTATTCTCTTCCTTGGAAAACAGTAAAGTGGACAAAGAAAGTTGCCCTGTGGCTTATAAATTGTGCCATTTTCAATTCATTTTTGGTTTTCAAAATTTAAACCCTCATTCAAAATTGAAATACAAGGCATTTCTGCTGAATGTGACAAAAGACTGGGATACAGACCAGATGGTGGTGGTAGAACCGGCAGCAGACACAGGCTTAGTGTGACCGGGTCCATCAACTCCCACCCCACACAGGCCTCATGTGGACCCCCCTGGGCGACTCTCGGGTGATATGCGGAAACATACCCTCGTGAAAATTGTGAAGAGTGAACATGCCAAGGGGAAGCAGCCTTCTAGGCGATGCTGTGTTTGCACAGTACACAACAAAAGGAGTATGACTGTCTACATGTGCAAGTTCTGTGTAATGCCACTTCACAAAGGGGAATGTTTCCAGAAATATGACACTCTCAAGCACTTCTAGGAGCATTAGTAAGTGTTCTCCAAAAATTTTAGTTCATGAAATTAACTAGATTTTATATTAATTTTTAAAGTGAACAGTGCACAAGTTAGGGTAGTAGGTTTAAAAATGCCGGTCCCCAGGGTGATTTAAATATTTAAATCGCCGGTCCGCGAACTGTTAGTATCTCTGTGTGCTATACACCACCGTCAGAACCCTATAGTATAAACTCTGTGTGTTATGAAACATAAGAAATAAAAGTTCAAGATATCAGCAAAAGAAGAAAATTTAAAAAATATAAAGAATAAGACTGTGTTGAATGCAGAAGTACAGAAATTTTAACAATTTCACCACAAATTCTGTTTATTTATGTGGACAAGTTACATGTCTGCATAGCCAATTCAATATAATGTTGCAGGTGATGAACATGTGGGGATTGTGTCACCTGGCCTGCATGCGCTTCTTGTAATATCTGGACTGTTCAGAAAGCCATTCAGCTTATGATGAACACAGAGGTCATTTTTTGCAATAAGACATGAAGATTTTAATAACTGTCTGCTGTGCTGTAGTATTGACAGAAAATATGAAATTACTATTATTTAGATTATTTACAAAATGAATGCATGGTAAGATTTATTCATTCATTCACTAAGGGAGCTGAGCCCTTCTTGACAAGCTGCCAATTGTGCACCTATTCAAGAACATTTTACGGAACCCGAAGGTTCATTACAGTGTTCACAAGAGCCCTCCAGTGGTCCTTATCCTGAGCCAGATCAATCCAATCCATACCATCCCATCCTATCTCTCCAAGATCCATTTTAATATTGTCCACCCACCTATGCCTTTGTATTTCCAGTGGTCTCCTTCCTTCCGGCTTTCCCACCAATATCCTATATGCATTTCTCCTCTCCCCAATTCGTGCTACATGCCCTGCCTACCTCACCCTCCTTGACTTGATCATTCTAATTATACTTGAGAAGCATACAACTTATGCAACTCCTCATTTACCAGTAAATTCAGACAAGTCTTAAGGTTTACGAAAGTGGTGTGTTATTACTGACACAAATGTTGGGCATTTTCTGTCACCTTACTTTTCAGTTAAAGCACAATATTTGAGGAACTGACCCTGGTCTCATTACCAAGTAAAGGAATGAAACTCACTCTGCTGCATCTATTAATTAAAGCCAATCTGAGGCTAGATTATCTCTAAATAATGGACCCAACAGAGATAGTGTCATTCTTTTATCTGATGACGGAAGCAGAGCCAGCTTCCAGAACACTGTGTCATTAACTAAAAATTTAAGACAATGGAAAATGTCTAATACATGTGTCACTTCATTAAATTCAGTTCTGAAATTTTATCCAAAAATATATGCTTGGAGAAGAAACCAAGAGCCTGAATAATGTAGCAGTGAAAAGGCTAATGGAGCCAAAGTTATTTAACTAAATAGTGAACAGTCCACAATCTCACCCTTCCATCAGGACATGAGCGAGGCTGGCCATTATAATGAAACAGTGTGAATGTGTCTGGTGTTGACTGCTTCTCTTCTGGAAAGAATTCTTCCATGAAAGCATTAAGCAAGATGATACCCAGATTCTCTGCATCAAGCTTTCTTGTCATGATTTCCACACTGTAACAAACTTACAAGTTTAAACTCGAGGTAAAATGTGTTAATACATATTCCAATATTAGGTGACAGTGTCACTACACACACAGAAATTGGTATTAAACGTAACTTACTATTCTGCCTCTGAGACTAGTTCTAATGCTCTTAATACATCCTGTAGCAACACAGCGGAGATGAAGTTATTTCCTTCAGGGTCAAAGCTCTTAAAAACACGTCTTGCCACTTCACTAGGGGTCTCTGGGCTTACCAAGCGCCTCTCCAAGGAGAAGAGTACTGTAACACCATCCACAAGATTTATATCATTTGTATTTTGATTCATTAACACTCCAGGATACTTCCGAATACCCAGCACATTACACATTCTCATGTTGTATGTTCACACAGCACACACTTAAAAACTATACTGACACAAGTGGCATTCCATACAACTTAAAACCAGACTCATACAGAGCAAATAAAAACACATACAAGCATAAGTATAGCAGGCACAGTTTAAAGTGGTCACTGGTTATTAGAATCAGCCACTTTACATGGCCAAATTTCAGAGAACCAATTTAAATCACCAAAACACACATTTGGGGGCACATGGTAGCACAGTTGGTTGAGGCACTATGTATGCTACAAGCCGCGAGGTTGTGGGTTCAAGTCCCGATGAGGTCATTGGATTTTTTTTCAATTGACCTAATCCTTCCAGCTGCACTGTGGCCCTGAGGTCGACTCAGCCTCTAACGGAAATGAGTACCAGGAATATTCTTGGGGGTAAAAGGCGGCCGGTGTGTAGGGCTGACATCCTTGCCGCCATCTATGAGCCAAATGTCTAGAAAATGTGGGAACCTCAACATCTCACAATCCTATGGGCCTCCACAACCTGTTACAGGGATACCTTTACCTTTTACTTACTTTTAAAATGCACATTTTCCTTCCTTACAGGAATGAGATTTGCAGTTGTAAGAATCAAAGGCTGTGTTAAGTACATTATGTATCTGCATAATAAATGTGTTTTCACAGGTACACCTAACATACAGAGTGGTGCATGAAATAATCCAGTATTCAATCTATTAATAAAATCTTTATTTAAGTTACAATATTAGAAACTAACACATAAAAAGAAAGACCACTGCATGGAGATTTATCCTCATGAATCGAGTGTTCAATATTATATGTCTGGCAATTTCTTCAACATAAACTGTAATGTTGTTGATTACCCGATGGAACATATCCTCAGTTATCTCACTGCAGACCTGAATGATTAGTGGTCTTAATGTATTCAACGCACGCAGCCACAAGAGAAGGACACATCACAAGACGCAGTATACACAAAATATAGGAAGAACGACTCCCATAGCGGAAGATTGATATAATATGCGAGTTTGAAATATGACGTATAAGATGATAAATCTCAACAAAATTTTAATATATAAATTTTATTATAGTACATGACGAATATACCTTTTAAATCATTTTATAAGTGACACATGATGGTGAGCAGTGCAATAGTTTAACGTAAATAACACACCTGAGAATGGCACAGTGATGCCGAATCATGCAGTGAAGTGACAAGTGAAATTGTGCGCACTACAAGACAGTCAATACATACACATCGTGGACGTGAATCAGTGCAACAGGACGCCAAAATACAACATTATTAATAAGTATAGGTAACTCTTGTTTCATGAAAATGTAATGTAAGAATTTTCACCATAATGAAACATGTTAATTTGTACCTACTTTTCACCTAACAAACTTCACTTTCCTTCTCAACACACCCCTTAATGTGGCACTTTTTGTCACAAATGCTCCAGCTAAATGTGCACCAACAATCTGTCCTCTTTCAAAATCAGACAAGTCTCCCATTTTCCCATTCTTTCACACAGACTGTCACTCAACACAATTAGTAATGCACTGACTTGAGCACTACATAGTGTAAACAAACATAAGAACATTCAGTGTTGCCAACTGATGATCTTTCTATGTTGCCAACACAAACAAATTCTATCCCTCACTTCCTTAGTATTTCCATTATTTGTTCACCTTCTGTACACATACAAGGGGGGACCCAAAAATAACCGGAAACGACCTGTTGCGCGCACATGCTTTGTAGTTACAAGTTGTGCTGCTAGGTGGTGTTAGCTGGGGGTCTCCCGTGACTGTTAGCGAGCTGGCGTCAGTCTGAGTTAAGTGGTTTGTCTGTGGTGCTCTGTTGTGTGAGTTCCTGTTTCAACCCTTTGGTGATTAGTGAGATGGCCGACCAGAAGGAACTCTTTTAAGAAATTCTGGATCGTTCTGCACTTCACTCTTCAAGTCGCAGCAAACATTCATGCGGTTTTCTCTTTGGTCATCTCCAAGCAAGCGAGGAACAAATTTTGCAGACACCCGTCTCATGTGCAAACCTTTGGTTAAAATTCGCTGGACCGTGCTCCATGAGATGTTCGTTTCCTCAGAAAGTTGGTCAATGGTCTTTCGGCGATCTTCATCAATTGCACGTTTGATTTTGGCAATGTTTTCGTCATTTCTTCCTGTCGAAGGACGCCCGGGGCGTGGCATGTCTTCTGTTGACATGTTGCCAGATTTGAAACGGGAAAACCACTCGTAGACCTGTGATTTCCCCAAAGCATCATCATTAAAGGCTTGCCGAAGCATCCCAACAGTCTCGGCTGCAGTTTTCCCTAACAGAAAGCAAAATTTCACGCACACGCTTTGTTCCTTCTGGTCAGCCATCTCACTAATCGCCAAAGGGTTGAAACAGGAACGCACACAACAGAGCACCACAGACAAACCACTTAACTCAGACTGACGCCAGCTCACTAACAGTCGCGGGAAACCCCCAGCTAACACCACCTAGCAGCACAACTCGTAACTACAAAGCACGCGCGCGCAACAGGTCGTTTCCGGTTATTTTTGGGTCCCCCTTCGTACGAACTACATGTTTCCTAAAGTTAACACATCCTTAAATCTTACACAACCCTTGATAATGCAACACTCCCAAATACCTGTTAGATGTGTTTCGCTGCCCATGACCCACACAGGATGCTTGGGATTCTTTAGAAAAGAACCAACCTCACAGTAGCGTAAGTGCTCTAACAATGCAAGGAAGCCCACCTCACTCTGGCAGTTTATTCCACGTAATTCTGTAATTCAATGTACAACGTCAAACTGTACAGATTACCAAATAAAATATTGTTTCTAGCTTAACCACGGACCACAAATGAGTTAATACCTGTGTTAAATGCAGGCCATGAGTAAAACTGCGTATGTAAAGATTAACAGGAAGTCAACACTTAAATATCATTTTATAAAAAATTAACCTTCAAAATATAAGAACAACCTTAATCAATTTAGAACCACAGACATCAACTTACTAAAATATAATGTACCTCCAGTTAGGTTTCTTAACAGATGACTATATGCTTCTTTTTTCCTATTGTGTGATGTGTATCATGCAAACTGGCACTGTTCAATACAAATTGCAATAAACCTGATCCAGATGTACTTCTGTTAAAAGAAGTCAAAAGGCTTACATGACCAAGCAAGCAAGAAAAGATACTGGCCTCATTAAACTGGAATCATGGTTTTGTAATCCTGTAACTTTATCAGATATAACTGGACTATTTGAAGTCTGAATCTTATGTCACACAGCAGGATATGACAGCAACAGAAAATGTATGAAAGCCCTTATCGGAAAAATAGTTTGTGTTGGAGAAGCATGTATGTGACACAACTGTGGCATATCAGGTGTATAGTGGCTCAATTTCCTATCACATATAAAACAGCAGTCACTATCATTACTGACTCCATTCCACTTGCTCTGTACTCATCTGAAATGATGAAGTATATCACAGTACACAGAAATCTAAGTATTTGTGATCACAAATTCATGCTGTTAAAGGGTTCACTTTATAATATAATTATTGGCACTTACTTAACCCACCAACATCCTGGTCATGATTCCATATGTGTCCAACTGCTCGTCCAGTCAACATCAGATTAATTAAACTTTGGCTTCCATACCCATATGTCCCATCAATTAGTGGTTCCGTAGGATCATTCATTTCACTCCGAATCTGCTCCACTCCCTGCAACTCAGTTTAATTTTGCATATGTTGCAATAAAATTAATTAAATATTTAGGTACTTCCTTCGTTCAGACATTAACATGATTTTTTCAAGGGCAGTATAATGAACTTTAAAGACAATCCAACAATGCCAGATCCAGAAGGCTACACAGGCCATGACCGACTACATAACAACCCCCACCCTCACCCCACCAGCTTAAGGGTTAATGTCTAGCCTTTAACCTTGCCTTTATCTCCCCCAAAACAAAACCCTGCTTGTCCCAGCTCTTCCCCCCCTCCGACACTACTGTTTTCACTTGTATACTTGCCCTTCCCCCCTTCCTTCACTGCTCTCACATAGCTGTGTATATTTCCAACACCAGTCTGCTTTTACCGGTTCTCACGGTCTCTTTGCTTGCAGATTTCTTATATTTTTCCTTCTACCCTGAAGATGGAGGCGACAGGTTCCTCCGAAACGTCGGTTAACACCACATATACACGGTGCCAAATCCCAGAAGACTGCTTTCTTCAATTTCAATAATATTGGACTTTGTAAGATTTGAGGCTTTCACGGCGGTGACTATGAAGAAAGCAGTCTTCTGGGATTTGGCGCCGTGTATATGTGGTGTTAACCGACGTTTCGGAGGAACGTATCGCCCCCATCTTCAGGGTTGAAGAAAAAGTATAGGTAAATCTGCAAGCGACAACACCGTGAGACACGGTAAAGCAGACTTACCGGTTCTCACGGTCTCTTTGCTTGCAGATTTCTTATATTTTTCCTTCTACCCTGAAGATGGAGGCGACAGGTTCCTCCGAAACGTCGGTTAACACCACATATACACGGCGCCAAATCCCAGAAGACTGCTTTCTTCATATTGGACTTTGTATGTTAAAATCAGTTGCCACAATATATTAAAGAGATACCAGTACTATACAAGTTTAAAAAGACTTTGAAGACATTCCTACCTGATCATTGTTTCTATACTATAGACAAGTTTCTCTTGTTTGGTGGCAAATCCTAGTTCTGATCACTTGTAAACATATATTTCAAGAATAATTAACTCATAGATTTTAATCTTAGTAATGTTATAGGAATGCCTAGTGCCCTACTCTGTATTTTTTCTTACAGGAACGAGATCGAGGATACACTCAACTCCAATTATCCGGGGGGGGGGATAAACCAGTTTGCGGCTTAACTGGGGCTTTTTTGAGGCTTATATGTTGTTTAATATTCATTCACTTTTGTTTCACATGGTGAGTTGTAACGCTATTTTTGCACTAGTGTGAACCAAGCTCTGCATTTTTTGATCCCCTTATGCTAACACAATGTTCTAGGGTAGGGGTGAAAGAATGCAAGTTCATGGTGGTGAAGAAGTGAACGAGGAAAATATAAGAGTGGTTCGACTGTGACTCGTGTGAGCGGGGCTTCAAAATGTTAAGCAGTGACGAAATCGTAAGTTCAGTGGGGGTGCAGCCAGAAGACCGGGAAGAAAGTGAGAATGAGGAAGAGGTGGACAATGTTGCTAGTAAGAAAATATCACATGGTGCTGCTCTTAATAATTTGGAATCCTTACTAGACTATCTTGAGAGTGAAGAGAACAGTTTATTAAGTGACAAGCTAATATTACATAGGCTTCATACAGATATCCGTAAAAATGAAAATGCCGCGGAAAAAAAAAACGACAATATTAATTTTTTTTAAGTGTTAAGTGTGAATATTCGTAACAAGTGTTGGATGTTGTTGAACACTGTGACTGAAATAACTAATTAATACTTCAGTGTAATGTAAAAAAAGTATTAAATAGGCCATGAGATGACATAAAAATGAGGTTGAATAAATTTAAATACAGGTAGGTCTATAGTATTATGAAGGTATAGTATTACAGTACTACTTTTAATAACATTTGTCTTAACCGGGTTTTCGATTAATCATGATTTCCATCCCCACCATTATCCCGGATAATCGAGAGCTGAGTGTATTTTGTGCCGGGATAGAAGGATTGGGTCTTGAGGTGTACAGCGGTGTTGTGTGTTAAACAATTATATCAGTTCTATTACTATAATTATTTAATTATCTTACTATATTATTATATTTATTATATTATTATTCTTATTTATTATTGTAAAGGATTTGAGTTGTCCTATATCATGTATAATGATCCATGGATATGAAGTAAATAAATAAATACATGTACATGTTACACTACTGGTCTGTTGGCTTTAAAAGTGTGCAGGGGGAGGGATGGTTTCAGGTATGTAGTCTGCATTGTTCTTCACAGCAGGCCTGGGGCCAGGGATGAGAATTCCCATTGTGAGATGGTTTGATTAGAGGGGGTATGGTAAAGACCAGGCATGGTCACTAATTGAGGATAACAATCATCTCTGAATAGGGACTGCATACACTATAGTGGTCTAAAACATAATCCTTGCCAAACAAATACAGTCACTGAATAGAGGTGGTGTTTTTGAGAAGTTTCATTGTTATTGCTGGCCAGAGCCTCATTTGTAAAAATACACATTTTCTTGCAAAAACAAAGATGGCTTCAAAGTTGGGCCTGTTTTGAGATATGTATACTACCTTTTAAACCAAACACTAAGTATGATTTCTCATAATTTCCCTACCAGTTCCATATAAATGCCTAGTGATCTCATTTCTTCAATTCATAAAACAATCACTAAATTCTAACACCGATCATTTGCATGCACAAGCTGTTTTGAAAATCTGTGGAATGTCGAATGACATACATAAAATAGGCAAAACAATATGTGTTAATGTGTTTCTTTCTGTATTCAGTATTGAACATATTAATCTACAACATACATATTTAATATCAGAAATGCTGCCCATTATAATAGGAACATTTACACATAACACATGTAAAAAGGTAAAACGCAGGCCCACAGGGTTGTGAGACACTGAGGCTCCCATGTTTTCTAGACAACAGGCTCAGAGATGACAGTGAAGTTATCAGCCTTACATGCTGGACACCCTTTAACCCCAGGAAGATTTCTGGTACTCATTTCTCTTAGAGGCGGAGTCAACCCCATGGCCACAGTGCAGCTGGAAGGATTAGGTCAACTGAAAAATACAACTTCATTGGGAATTGAACCCTTGACCTTCCAGCTTGTAGCATAGTGCCTCAACAAACTACACTGCCGCATGCCCCAACACATGTAAAAGTAACTGATTTATTAAACTCACAACAGAGTGCAGAAAGATAAAAATAACAAATGATATACCTTTGTTGAAATAACAGAGTACAAGAGGAGTAAGACTCCAAATGTTTCTCTTAAGGTTTCTATTCTTTCAAAATAGAATGCTTCAACTTCTTCAACACGTTCCAGTGGAAGTAATCTGAAGAAAAATGCACAGATTAGACAAGCCTGTCAGAGAAGGTAACATATAAAAAGAACGCAGGTAATGCTATCACATCAAATGACTGGGTGTTCATGAATACTGACCTGGAAAGGATGCAGATGGAAACACTCAAGGCATAATATTTTAAGGTACTATCCTGTCATTTCCTTGCAGAGATTGGGGAGGGGAACAAAAGCTTTCAATTAGGATAGTCATTACCCAGTATCCCAGCTAAGATTCAACCGTGCACCTCCCAAATAGGTATGAAGAAGCATTACTGCTTGAGCCACCTTGCATAATGGTACCCCAGTATGGCTACAGTGTTATGAACAGTGGAAATATGTATTCAAATTTGAATGTTCACATAATTTCCTAATTCTTACATTGCAATTCTTCATCTGTCTTTGGTCTTACTATTCATGCCTTGCAAACACAAATCTGCCCTACTCACTCACTCATGGAGCTGAGTCCTTCTTGAGAAGCTGCCAATCGTGCAGCTACTCAAGAGCTTCCCACAATTTTATGGAACCCGAAGGTTCATTACCGTTTTCGCAAGAGCCCTCCACTGGTCCCTATCCTGAGCCAGATCAATCCAATCCACACCATCTCTCTAAGATCCATTTTAATATTGTCCACCCACCTATACCTTGGTCTTCCCAGTGGTATCTTTCCAACTGGCTTTCCCACCAATATCATATAGGTGTTCCTCTTCTCTGCCCTTCATGCTACATGGCCTGCCCATCTTGGTTACTAACAATATAATGTGACACACGATCACATGTGCACCAATGTAGTCAAACAATTGAACACAGTTGGGAATTGAAAAAACAAGTTGAAATATACACTGTAAAAAGAAAAAAAGTACTTTTGTCTCCTTAAACATTCACCTTATCCTTCACCCATTATATATCATGTAACTTAAGTCCTATGACTTTTTCAGGAACAACTTCATGTAGTATATTTCCCACACTTTGAAAAACTCAAAATTATATCTGACAGCCTCTTGTGTGAATTCCAGCAGATTTCATTTTCATTCAAATATCTCCATAGTTTTGAGAAACAGCATTTTATATCCTTTAATGCTCCTGTGACTGATGTGAAAACAATCACCACACAAACTTCAGCATTCCCTGTCTTCAAAACCATCACTATACTCTGTGCTTTTACTTATGTAATGCCAACCTATGGTAATACCAAGTTTCATTCAAATTAAAAAAAAAAAAAGCTAACATGCTTTTTGCACAATTTGCTGACTTGTCATGGAACACCTCCTTACACACTTCTCACACATAATGCATCCACTGTACACTGTACCTTAACTTCTAAATACTTATTTACGTATTTTTTATTCCATTTTCCCTAAAAAACTAATTAAGACTGATTCTAAATATAATCCCTGGATGTACAAGGGTATCAATGTATCATGTCAGCATTAAAGAGACTTATATATAACCATGAGGAATAATAATGATCCTCATTTAAAAGCCTATTATAAAAATTACTGCAAAATCTTGTCTAGTGTTATTAGAACAGCCAAAAAATGGTATTATAATGGTTTGATTTCTAATGCTAATAACAAAGCTAAAGCCACTTGGAAGGTTATAAAATCAATATCTGGTAGGAATAATAATAAGATGGTCATTCAGTTTCTAAAGATAGATGGGAAACTTACTGACAATCACATGATGATTGCTGAGTCTTTAAACAAATATTTTCTAACTATAGCTGATAATATTAAAAGGGTAACGAATGGACATGTTACTGGGACTGATTCAGCTAATCATGCAAAATATATGAATCAAGCCTTTATTAGACCATTCTCTAAAATTCACTTAAATCAGACTACTTATAAGGAAATTGAAAGTGTAATTGGGTCCTTTAAACCCAAATTCTCTAATGGATATGATGAGATCTCTGTTAAAATTTTAAAATCCACTGCACCATTTATTAGTTCTCCACTAGCCTATATTTGTAACAGAGCCTTTGTAACTGGTGTTTTTCCCACCAGATTAAAATATTCAGTAATAAAGCCATTATTCAAAAATGGAGATAAAACCAATATGTCTAATTACAGACCGATATCATTAATGACATCTTTCTCCAAAGTTTTTGAAAAGATTATTTATATAAGAATGCACCGACATGTACTTAATAATAATATACTAGCTAAAGATCAGTATGGTTTTAGGAGTAAATCATCGACTGAAATAGCTACGTATGAACTAGTTAATGTAGTATTAAATGCTTTGAACAATGGTATGTTTGTTGGTGGTATCTTTTGTGATCTCAAAAAGGCCTTTGATTGTTTTAATCACGATATATTACTATCGAAATTGGAATTTTACGGCGTGGCTGATAAGGCTGGTGCTTTGATTAAGTCGTACCTTGCTGATAGGCATCAGAGAGTTGTTGTGAATAACGGTCTGAGGTACTCAGAATGGGGGGAAATTAAAAACGGAGTCCCCCAAGGTTCAATTCTGGGTCCTTTGTTGTTTTTGTTGTATATAAATGACTTGCCCTATATCATATCGAACAAGTCCAAACCCGTTATTTTTGCTGATGATACTAGCATAGTCATTACTAACCCTAGGTCTGCTGATTATGAATTCAAGGCTTCTTTAGTATTTAAAAACATAAATGATTGGTTTTAAGATAATTTATTGTCATTAAATTTTGAGAAAACACATTTTATCAAATTTCTGACTAAGAACCGCCAGCCGATGGATATTCATATTGATGATGATCGGATTGTTAACACTACAAATACTAAGTTTCTGGGGCTTATTATTGATAACACATTGTCTTGGAATGGACATGTGGATTGGTTAATGTCTAGATTGGGCTCCGCATGTTACGCGATTAGAGCCCTAAAATCTTACATGTCTCAGGGTAAATTAAGAATGATTTACTTTTCTTACTTCCATTCAATTATGCCCTATGCTTTGGTTTCTTGGGGTAATTCCCCTTATAGTATACATATCTTTAGGTTGCAAAAAAGGGCGATTAGAATTATAATGAACTCTGGGAACAGAGATTCATGTAGGGAATTGTTCAGGGAACTGGAAATTTTACCCCTTCAATCCCAGTATATATTTTCTCTTGCAATGTTCGTAGTTAATAATAAAGATCAATTTAAGTTAAATTCTGAGTTATATAACAGGAATACAAAATATAATAATAAATCCCATTATCCTACATGTAAGTTGACTGTATTTCAGAAAGGAGTGTATTACCACGGTATTAAGGTTTTTAATTGGCTTCCTCCTAATATAAGAAACCTGGCTCAAGATGTTAAACATTTTAAAATTGTTTTAAGAAGATTTTTGTTGATGAATTCGTTTTATTCGTTGGAAGAATACTTTGATTGTAAATTTGACTCCAATAATTAACTGTGATCTATTATGGTATTGAATAATGTAATGAGTCTTATATTGTTATTTCTATGTAGTGTTATTTGTACTATCAATGACTAATTCCTTATCCTATATGTAGTGGATTTATGGAATGTAAATAAATGAATGAGAATGAGAATCAGTCCAATGATACTTACCTAAGTTGTGTATGGAAATGCTCATATTCTAATTTCTGTCGTTTAGCCGACGTTTCTATGAGCTCTGTTGATGGATTTTCTATTGGTTCTTCTCCATTTGTTAGAACACTGTTGGGTGAAGTATGACTTCTCAAATCATTATTCATATGAACCACCACATAACGCCCTCCATTATTTTCACTAGCTTGCGTCAAGATATCACATGCAGCCTGGACAAGTAACTCATTACATTTATCTGCATCAGCCTAATGAGGAAAGACACCAGTCAGCTTTCATAACTCTGAATGAACCTCAAACTCCTTACTGAATATTAACAGGTTTGGTAGCCACACTACATAAATATCTCCTGAAAATATACTGCGCTAAGTACTGCCGTCTTACCTCTCTCCAATTGTTTCCCACTGATTCAGATAACAAAGATTTAAGAATAAATGCTTGAACAGGCGCCAGTACAGCGCATGGGCCCCCTTCACTTTGAACAAGGGCAGTTGGCTCATCCTTGCTACAATGGAATCCTGTATAAAAGTTGTATCAATAAGTAATATACATAAAGCACACTATAAATGTTGGTATATACATTAACAGGGCAGTTACACTCGCCTTGTGCCCATCTTCGAAAAACGTCCTCTTTCACATACGGGCCCCACAACAATTTCTTAATTTCTTGTAACTCACTATACGATGATGCACTTGAATGGTTTGCCATTATTCTTTAGTGAAACGTTATCATCTGACAACATTAAAATACCTAAACTACAGTAACAAAATTACATAGCACAAAATATTTATCTGACACCAATTACAGACGCTGTCACAACGTTCACAACTTTCATTTCGCTCCGCGGCCACGTTGATTTTGATCGCAGGGAAAAATCCTCCCGCTGTCATTCCAAAATTATAACATCTTTGGAACTACACAGCGATGTTACATCCCACTGTTCAATGCTTCATCCTCGGAAGTGAACATATACATTTCATAAATTTTATGAGATAAAATGAAAGTATGGGCGTGTCCTAATTCGCTGAGAACTGTTTAATGTTTATTTTATCTCGAATTGTTTCAACTTGACCAGGATTTACAAGAGATGACATAATACACTCTGAATCCGAATGATCACAACCAGCGACATTTTCTAAATCACTCATGATTATCAATTTATAAAGCAATTACTGTCCAACGTCATAAGTCATAACCACTTATGCTGTGCTCACTTGTTACTTCACACTCACTGCCGGCAAATTTTAAGAGAGCACTAAAGAGATTTTTACTTCATCACTCCTTTTATTCCATGAAAGAATACTACCAACAGAAATGGGTATAATGTGTAATGTAAGAGAACACACAGATTGTGACAACAAATGAACTGATATAGAAATATGTCATAAACTACAAATTATGTAATTATCCTGTTTTATTTGTCTCTTTTTTATTGATTGTCTCTTTTATATGCATTTTAATTTGACGCACTTGATTAATGGAATGAGTAATGAATGAATGTCTTAATGGAAATTTAAATTTTATTTTATTTTAGTCCATTATAAATCTTGATAAATTTCTTGATCATTGTTTAATGTGTATTATAAGTATTATAAGTTTACCTCATTTAATTGCAATATTACTGTATTATTGTATAGCTACTATGTATTCTAACTTGACTTGTTCCATATCCTATGGTGTCTCACCTGTACTGGATTTACGGAATGTAAATAAATTCAATTCAATTCAATTCAATACTGCACTCACCACTACTCACGACTTCGCTACACTACTGTTCTGAACTGAACATTGACTGCGATCACTCCGATTGACTCCATTGACCGATTCACTGACTCGCCGACTTCCTAACAGACTGCACTCACAATATTACAAATAATTAGACTTCTCTGCGCTGCACTAAACTGGATTCTCGCGAACAAGTGACAACCACTTTATAGGCGCTTCACCCTTATGTTTACCGATGATCTCGGCCTTTGAGGGAGCTTCGTAACTTCCCAAAAGGTTCCAAACTGGAAGTTCCCGATTTCGATCAAACGATCGGCGCACGCAGGATATGAACGCCACACGCATCCTTTTCCTACGAAATATTATTTTGGGTATCTTCATAGTCGCTTTCAGCTTCAACGTCGAAACATGCAACGCACACCCTTGGTTTTTTATAAGTTTGTCGCAATGTGTACTGCCTGGAAAAGAGCTCTTGATTACAACTAGGGAATGGATATTTGTGCCAAAATATAGAGAATTTCTACTTCTTATGTTCCTTAAAAGTAATAAATATACTCCATACAGCTGGAAATATTTTTAAACAAGTACCCAAGATTGATGGAGTTACATAACACCGTTCTATTGTTGCAGGTGTTACCCAGCAACGGCCGCTGCTGACAGAGTCATTGCTTAGCAGCTGGTTTATATGCCTCAATAGTTTTACCTAAAATCCATTCCTTATATATAATTTTCCTACTGAGCACAGAATAATTTTATGTAGAATTCACATAATAATGTCAAGGATGATGATGATGATACAAGTCATTTAATACAGTACTTTATAAAATATCAGCTGCAATCATCAACTGTATAAGTCCAATACCTGATTCTAACCCACCAGCATCTTGTTTTATCAATTAATGTTTTTGCTAATTATCAAACATTTTTCTTTTCTTGTGATTATCAATTTATTTTCTTCAGGATACAAATTATCACTGTCACTTCCACACACCTGCCTAAATTAAATGTCTCCACTGAGTATCATATATCCAAAATGATTGTGTTCATTCTAGAATAAAAATGTAGTTCATAATCTTGTGAATGGCTAAATATATCAAGGTATATATGGTATATATGTAGGCACCAAAAATATTACCACTTATCATTGCCATGTGTAACAAAGTTTTTCATATTTGCATAACAATTCGTACTTTCCTTTCCACTTCATGTTTCCCTACACATCGCTAGACCAAAGACAAATAATTTCCTAGTGAAAGCCATAAAAGATCTTTCAGAGCCATAATCTAATTTACCTCTGCCACTACATGCTGAGTTTTAAAAGTTCAACAAAACCATATATTAACTTATACTTCTGCCCTATTTTCAGTTTACATGGAACATATCAGTCAAGTACTGAAATACTGTATTGTATATGTACATCACATTATTAGTCCATATCACATTTGGTACCACTTTTCATGGTGCAAGATAATTCATATAGACTAAGACAGCATTGGCCGGTCACGGTAGCTGAGCAGTCTAAGGCATGCACTGTCTTCGCTCACTCGGAAGCCGGGATCGTGAGTTCAAATCTCACTCAGGGCATGGATGTTTGTGTGCGTTTTTCTGTGTCTGTCTACAGGTAGAGGCCTTGCGACAAGCTGATCACTCGCCCAAGGAGTCCTACCAAATGTATAAGATCTAGAAAAACTGAAGTGAACAGAGTTCATGGAGGTAGGCCTAGGCCCACAGGCGCTGTAGGGGCCAAGAAAAAAAAAGACAGCATTAGGATAATCAGATTAAGGCAGTGAGTGCAAGTAATCTTGCACAGGGATGTACATTGAACATGAGAACCTATCAATTATTTAATGCAAGACTGGAATATACATATCAGTGCAGTAAATTCTTTCTAAACAAAGTATAAAGGAAACAAGGTCATAATCAAGATTTAATTTCAGAAGGAGAAGTTCAACATTAATTAAACTTTAATTTTTTTTAGAGGTCATCAGCTTGTGATTTCAAGAGATTCTTTTTATCTGACGCTACTTGTCACTCTAGTCATGGTTTAATGGCTTAAAATTATTTTCTACACTGTGCTGATTTCTCTAACCAAAATCTAATGATTCTGTCTTGTAGGAAGCAAATTTTGATGTTATAAACTCTAATCATTTCAATACTGCAAATTATATGAACACATATATTGAAAACAGTTTAATCACAGTATCATGAAATATTCGGTATATTACAATACTAACTAACACAGAGCAAAACAAAAGTTAGTAAAAACATTACATTGCAACAGTAGTACATATTTTATTTGTGAGAATTATACCACAATTGCAACTATAACTGAACCTCTTTTACAACAGATTAGAACAAATGAACATGAAATTAAACTGACATAGACACCAATTCCCATCATGGAGCTGCTATTACACTGATTTCTATGAAATTCAATATTAGGAAACAAAAGAGTTTAGATAAAACTGAAAAATATGCTGGCATATTTTTATGTAGTTTAAAGTATGTTTATTGGATTTCACATTGAATTTGTTATACAATGCACTGGCTTGATCTCTGTTACTAATGTGTTACATATGCATTCCTTAACTCCACGGAGTTACCTAATAAAAGATTACCAAATTACTTGGTGCCTATGTAAAGAAGCTATAAATTTTAGCCAACAGAAACTGAAAAAACATTAAAACCCTAGTCTTAAAGACGATACTACACACATAAAATGTCAATAAGTTACAGCTGTTCATATAATTCTGGATGTTACTCTTATAATAAATGCCCTCACACATTCTCAAACATTCTGTTTCATTTATTTCCTCAGTGTCACATATGCTAGTCAACAAATTAATTTCATTTGCAAGTAAGAACTGTGCCTCTATATTTCACTATGCTAATTCCTTTCTTCTTCTTTTTAATTCTGGATAATTTCAAAAAAATTATCTGTTCCCATGGACTATAATGTCCAATTGATTTAATATTTTAGGCTAAACAAAAAACAATATGAATTTAAAATATTCTATTATCATCTCTATGGCTCTGAACATGATGATTCCAGGCAAATATTTCACAATACGTTGATTGCAACAGTGACATTAATCAAGTTCCATATTTATGGGAACAAATCATATGTTCGTTAATTTTTCTGTGGTTAATTTTAAAATTTTATAATAGCTAAACAGCAAATATAAAGCTCAGATCTGAAAGGTAAATTATAATTGCAAACATGCTTATAAATGTCTTGCATACATTTTGTGTTATCACTAGAATATTTATATGATTTAACCTTGAGCTCGACCAAAGTTTACACTACACAAATATTTCCCCCAAAACAGGTTTCAACACGTGCCAAGAAGATTAGTTTTTCAGAATTATATGCAGGCATAAGCCATTTAACTCTCATACTCAACCTGCTGTCTTTGATCACACAGGTTACTGATTTAGATATAGAAATTTTAAATTTGTGCTATGGTAGCCATATTTTACTCTCCTTGAAGTTGTTTCAAAATATTTAGACAAGTATTGTTTCGTTTATACTTACAAGCAAATAACAAGAATAATCAAATCTAGCTGTTGTCATTAGATGATATCAGATAGGACATATGATTTTGCTGCTTAAATTTAAGGTTTCATGTTCATTTTTAAAATCTGCACATATCAGAAGTTAAAAGGTCAAAGATTTATAGTTACTCCTTGGCAGTTACTAAATATATCATTCATACTAATGAAATATACATAAAAGAGTGAGTTGTTAAATGGGATATGTATGCTGTATGGCAACTGTTGTATCTTGAACATCATGTGACATTTCATATCAAGTCAACTTATATAAAACACATGGTGTTTAGTAAAACAACCAGTGAACTGACAACAGATAATATGTATGTGATTTCATAGACAGCAATCTCACGCATGTGTGTGCATGCCTATGTTGGTAGGTGGATTATGAGAGTTCTTAGATTATGCAGTGTTTTAATATTATGTAACATCCAGCAGCATGCTGTTATACCTCTCTCAAGTAAGTAACATAATCTGGGCTACCTAGTCTCAAAATATTCCAATACTATTTAATGCATTTTAACATATATTTCTCTCATAAAATACGTTAGAATCTTCAATGTTTCATTATTGTTTTAGAAAAAGCTAATCAATTATACAGTGTGAGTTGATTCTTTTTATTAAATCCTGCTGAGTGGTTTGCATTTCGTACAATGAAATTAGCACCATCATAATACATACGACGTTCTCCACGTCTGACAAATAAGTGAGGTGTTTGACCCATTGATGCTGTACAGTGAAGGAATGGTGTAGTCAGTGATGCCGTTCCATTGCTTGGGCTTGCGCGTAATTGACATCTGCTGCTGTTTCGATAAATACTGGAAAATGCATTATTTCAGGGTAAATATTTCTTTGAAGATGTGTATGTCAGAAATCCTTTCATAAAATTTCATAAATTCTCACAGGTACACACAAGGTTGGTGTGAAGAGTCCATACAGTAGGTATTTAAAAGAGTTAATGATATGTGAATTTTAAATATAAAATTATCAAGGATTTGAAACTCTAAGTTAAGGAAAGTTGTCCTTGTGCTTAACTAATTAAGCACTATGCCTTGAAGACATATGAGAGAGTGGATGCATAGAGCAACGTTTTCTTGACCTCAGCACTAGTTGGAGGTGAGTGGTCAGCTTCATGCAATGGCCACTTTACCTGCAGGGAAAGAGTCCCTGGGACCCACTGGATAGGAGTTTGGGTGGGCCTCAAAGCCGGTCTGGATGACATGGAGAAGTAAAAATTCTTGCCCCCATCAGGACTCGGAACTCTGACCCCTTGGTCATCCAGCCCATAGCCAATCACTTTACTGACCACACTATCCTGACTCATATTAATTAAATCGCAATTTCTTGAACTGTGGGTCACAAAATCTAGGAGGTCTGATCTACTCTAGGGGAGATCACCAAGGTCTCAAGAATTATTCAAAATATAGTTGTATTCATGAACAGTTTCGTCAGGTAAGCAGGTAATCATAGGTGGGTATTATAGTGCAGAAACTAGAACGCCTTTCATGTTGTTATTGACATGTAACACATTCGTTTGTCTATGGTAAGCAATCAACAGCAATAATTTGACATTAAAAATATGATAATGATTGTACAGATTTTTGTCTAAATAAATGTTCCCACCTATGCAATATTGCAATTTAAAGGATAGCCCGATGTTATGCTGTTTGTGGAATGTGATAAGTTCATGTGAGATATATACCGTATTTACGCATGTATAGGCCGCGTGCGTGTATAGGCCGCAGCACAATTTTCAGACAGAAATTATAGAAAAAATAATTTTCTTGGAATATTATTTCAGGAGTAGAAATTATTCCGAAATTTGGCAACGTTTAATTTTTTTTAATGAAGTGTGATTTCGAATATTTCGAATATAAGCCGCACCCCAGTTTTCCTCTTGAATTTTTAGCAAAAAATGTGCGGCCTATACATGCGTAAATACGGTATATTTTTTTTTCACTTAATCATTGCAGAGATTATTTAACTTGAACTGAAAGGAGAGTATGTTAAAGGATACTGTTTTAGGCATTCTCAACAAATTATTCTGGGATTTGCTTAGAAGGGCCAAAGAGAAGCATGAAGAACCTCAGTAGGGCAGCCAGTGGACTAACCAAGATATTGAATAAGTAGCTCCAAAACAACAAGTGAGACATGGCAAGAAAGGCTTATGAATTGTGGTTGGCATCATTAAGTTCACATTATTCCAAAATCTTTAAAGCAATAGACAGCATTGCAAATATTTAAGGCAGAAACATTTTGGAAGATTTACATATTACATGTACAAGGGACTTAGTCCCACCCCACTAGCAATAAAAAAAAAATAGTGTTATCCTTCTGTATTTCAGCATCCTGTTGCAATTGTTTAACTTAACGTTCATGTATTTATTGTCTGTCAATATTGCAACACTTGTTTATTTGCTACTTATTTTTAATTTAATTTAACATTATACACTTTGACACTACATGTTTCGGTGAAATAAGATGCACCAAAATGACGTGAGTATAATAGAAACTTTAATGGATTTTATCTGGTTTTACCTTGAAAAGAGAACTACAGCGTGTGATTTTAACATGGACTAAGACAGTGTAGCAGTTTTAACATAATTTAATAAAATATTTGTAACATATCAAGACACCTGAAGATTGCAGTTTGGGGCCGAAACATGTAGTGTCAAAGTGTATAATGTTAAACTAAAATTAAAATTAAGAAGTGAATAAACAAGTGTTGCAATATTGACGGACGATAAATACATGGACGTTAGTGTTATCCTGCTGACATTCTGGATCAGAATATGGCCAACAGATTTTCAGGAATCATGTGGTGTAGGTTATTTGCAGCCACCTGTTCTAATATTAACTCTTAAGACTGTAGTTCCACCAAAAATATATACATACTGATCATACAAACAGATTTTACAATAATCACTACATTAATCTGTGACTTAATGTGGACACAAAGTTTATTATCATCTTCAATACCACTACCTACAGAGATGTTCCTTTCTCTCTTGAGAGAATATAGATTTATTACTTTCAAATATATGTATAGCAAATGATTCAAGCACAAGTTTTACATATAATAAAAAATATTAAAAAATAAAAAAATAAAGAAAGAGGCTTTATATACTCTTCTCATTTACAATCCAAACACTTACCATCATCTCACACAATATGTAGGAAACACCTAATATCACACCATGCATACCACCTCTACATATTTTGAAGAAAAAAGTATGGTATGTTAGACAAAAAGTGGATTTAAATAGCTTTACCTAACAATTCCATTCGGAGTTTGTGAAACTCGCACATTATTAATTTTCCAATTCTCAGTTCCTTTATCAGTAATCCAATGCTGAGCTGCCTTAAAAAGAGAATTGGCTTCATGGATGTAATATGCACCTTGGCGTGAATCACTATAGAATACAGACAATGAGAAATCCTGTCTCATGTCTAAGAAATTTTCAATTGTTGTTCTGGTCCCTGCAGCATCAACTAGGTACACAAGTGCACACTGCTCAGATGTGAAACTTATTCCTTTGTACCACATCTTGGCACATCTGTAAATAGGAACAAGTAGATTTCAGTTGTTACATTCATTTCAGTCTTTTTTATTATTTCATAGAGAACCGATAAGTTTAAATTCCGTTTTATGGTTGTACTGGATCAATAGAAACCAAAATTAAACAGAGATCTGAGGTTCTTTCAGCAGTGACTATGGAGATCACTGTTTTCTGAGTTGTGATGTCATGTAGTCTGGAGATGTTCACGAATGTTTCAGAGGAACATGCTGCCTCCGTTTCAAAGGTACAAAAGTCGTTTCAAAACGTTGATATGTATTTACCAGACTATGGGGTCATATTCTCCTTGCTTGGGTTATTTGTAAACCTTGAAGATGGAAGCAGTAGTTCCTCCGCAACATCCATAAACATCTACCAGACTATAAGGGTTTATTTTGCTTGTTTGCTGGCGTTACCTAACGATGGAAGCGGTACGTTCTCCGAAATTTCGGTAAACTTCTGTCAAAGTACACAGCACCACATCCCAGAAGACAGCATGTTTCAACAAACTGCCATGTCCAACTTTATAGTGAATGGAAAAATTCTGAGCCATGCTTCCTTAAAAATGAATTGAGCGCTAAGTGGAAATTGCACTATATGAAATATTCTTTGAACTTACACCTGACTCACTTATTGTGGAAAAAGTTTCTAGATAAAACAGTTGTCTACATACCATATTTTCAGAGCTATGATGGCAATGAAATACACATTACAGCACTCAGTGGAAGTCAGTATGGTATGATTTAAAACCCATTGCGCTATTTAAAACGCTGAATTAACTGTCATCATCATTTGGTCAATTAATCTCATTACTGAGGTCGATAGTGGAAATATCGTTGGATGGTGGAATGAGGATTTGAAGTAACTGAAAGAAAACTTGCCTCTGCGTTTCTTCTGTCTCTCTCCCGTACTGTTTGAGAAACGATTTGCAGGATCAGTGGATTTCCTCCTTATGCAGAGCATAGTTTACTGCAGTCATAACTAATCATCTGAATTAATTTATCAGGCAATCGAGAAGTAAATTAATTAACTCCAGGGTAGTCCTAGATTGTATTTTTGAGTAGTTGATAGTTGATAGNCTATGTCATTCCATCTTAGTAAAAGTAGGTTTGTAGTTAGACCACGTGTATTTTATAAAAACTTGGAAATTGCTTATTCATCAGAACTGAGATTTTTAGGTATAGATATTACAGAAAACCTTAAATGGAGTACCCACATCCAGTCATTATGTTCAAAACTTAGTAAAACATCCTACATAATTAAATCACTAAGAGGAGTTTTGAGTCCAAATATGTTAAGAAGCATTTATTTTGCAAAGTTTCAATCATTATTGAGATATGGCATAATATTTTGGGGGTGTGAAGGTGATAGTATAAAGGTATTTAGAATGCAGAAGAGGGTGCTGCGAATAATTAGTGGACTTGGTAAACGAGAGTCATGCAGGCAAATTTTTAAAGATTATGGCATCCTTACGGTTACTTCGTTGTATATCTTAGAGGTGTTGTGTTACATAAAAAAGCACAAAGCAGATTTGATCCAGAATATAAATATTCATAGTTATAATACAAGAATAAACAAGGATTTTCATGTTCAGTTCTGTAGAACTACATTATTTAAAAAGAGTGTGGTAAATATGGGGATAGAATTGCATAGTAAGTTGCCTGACAAAATAAAAAACTCAGTGGGTTTTTCAGTTTTTAAAAGAGACTTAAAATCCTTTTTATTGAAACATTCCTTTTACACGATAAATGAATTCGTTAGTTTTAAATAAAAAGATGGATGGCGAAAGTACTCATATTTGGATGTCATAGCAAATCATAAGTTGTATACAATGATTTGTGTATTTGTTTTTTCTTTTTTCTTTTTCAAATGTAGTATCTACATATTGCTTAGGATTGTAAAATGTTGTTAGTATCCTTGTAACTTTGTAGGTTTGTTTGTTAAGTTGTACTCCTGGATAAATCAATCAATTAATCAATCAATATAGTTCGTAGCATGCTTGTAACTATGTAGATTTATTTTGTTAACTTATATTACTGAATGACGTGTCCAAATGTTACTATGTAGCAAAACAGATGAAAATAAAATACAATACAATACAATACAATACAATACTCAGCTAGACAAAAAATATCCCGTTTCCATGGAACCCTAAGGTTCATTAAAGTCATCACAGAAACCCTGCAACTGGATCATATCCTGAGGCAGTTAAATTTAATTTAGGCGTTCACAGCCTGTAAGTCTATCTGTAAAATACATATTAATATTATCATACGATCTAAAACAGCCTCTCCCAAGTGGCTCTGACGTGTAGGTTTACCGACCTAATTTCTTACGCGTTTCTCATCTTCCTCACGTGTGATACACATCCTTTGAACGGCGTATTCCTCAATTTGATCATCCTAACAATATTACGTTAAAACTAGGAAGTACTCAGTTTTTCCAGAATTTGTTGTTCTCGCAGCGATATTTATGTAGTCAACCGTCTTCTTAGTCACTAGGCTTTCAGACAGGACAATGGAGGATAGCAATTCCTGAATTAATCAATAACAAGAATTTCCAGAATATTATTAGCTCTTAATTTTGTAATAAGTATAAATTGCATTTGTTAGTACCGGCATTCTTTTCTTAATATTACTTACCTATTATTCCCACCGGCATCATTTGTCAGGATTTCTACGCGGCTTCCGTATTGATATACACGCCCGGTGGGGTGAAGCAATGCAACTTCAGATCCTCTTCCGTTCAAAGACAGTATAATGCCATTCTGCAAGATATTTAATATTTCATATTTATAGCAATAACACAAAATAAAGCATAATTGGCTTTAAATTTATTTCAAGGAGAAAAATTCTTCGTTCCTATACTTCGAAACAGATATAAAACTATGAAGAAAGCAGTCTTCTGGGATTTGGCACCGTGTATATGTGGTGTCACCGCGGTGTCACAGTCACCGCCGTGAAAGCCTCAAATCTTACACAGATATAAAACTACTTGAAATATCAGTTCTTCACGGCGGTGAATATTAATATTATGGTCTTCCGGGATCTAAAAAATCACGAATGGAATATAGCCACGCAGCTTCTGCATAACTTGCATACGGCACAAAATTTAAGAGTTAGAATTCAGCCAATCTTAATTAAATATTTTAACACACACACATGTATATATGACCGCCTCTGTGGTCTAGTGATCAGAGTTCTTGGCTACAGATCCAGAGTTCCCGGGTTCGAATCTCAGCGCTACGATATTTTCTGATAAGTAGGTCTGGAACGGGGTCCACTCAGCATGTGAGGATAATTGAGGAGCTATTCCAAAGGAATAGCGGCTCAGGTCTAGAAAACCGAGTTAACGGCCTTGAGGAGTTATTACGGTGACTACGCGACACCGTCTATCCTCTAAAGTTGGCACTAACTTCGCTGACAGGAGGCGGTCGCTCTGTCAGTATGGTTCACTTGCGTACTAAAGCCACGGAGTTTATTTGTTTGTTGTACATATATGTTGGGACTTTTGAAGTCAAATAGATTACTATGTTCTCTTCTTTATATAATCCAACCAAAAACAATGATCTAAAGTACTACATTTCAAATAAAAGTAAGCTAACATATTACTGGCATTTCCTCGATGTACAATTGTTACTCCATCGTCTTCGGCATTTAGGTAGCGGCATATCCTTCGCCAAGGAACAATTATTTTATTATTATATTCTACCTTAGGACTATGTCGATGGTTTCCTAAACTAAACTTTTTATTATATTAGTCAATTTTAATACAACAAGTATCTTTCAAATAATTTAAAAAAAACAAATTTAAACAAACGTTTTAATACAAAAGTGACACTCAAATCATTAGTCAAAACAACAGAAGACTGAACTCTAGAAGTCGACATGAACCTCATATGTAAAGGCTGTCAGGAATTCGATATATTCCACTTCGGAGGATATCTCCTTCCTTTTTGGAATTTAGTTATATCTGCGACGTATATGCTGAGATATTATTTCTAGAAACTGGGATTATTGTTTCTAGCGTGCGAATCCTCGATGGTAGAGAACTATACGTGCCCCTCGGTAGACGTGTTTGCAGGAACAGAAAGCGTTTTCACCAACAATATTGCCACTTGATGGGGTGATTATAGACAGGGTTTGGTTTGGTAATTGGATATACTGAACTCTGTGACTACAAGTAATCATAATCGTTTCACTAATTCAGGCACTTCACAATTCACTAGAGCACACACTTAAGTCTTTTCAGCCTGCTGTCTTCACCAGTATTCTGGTAACGGGTTCCAACGGCGGATAATCCCCTTCATCTGTGTACCCGAATTGTTCCCCGGCCTCAGCTACAGCGACTTCCGACTAACTACCTAATTGCCAGAGTCAGAGTTACTTTAAGACTGGCGGATTACCGTCAATCAGTTCGTCTTGGCGGAATTTCAGGAATTGACTGGAATCCCATTTTCATGCGACAGGTTACATTTTTCATGACATGCTCTATGTACTGCTTGGTTAGTATATTAAAGATATGGCCGCGCCATAGCTCAAGCGGCTAGTCGCTGGTTTCCCACGGCGGCGGCCTGAGTTCGATCCCGGGTCTGGTCAAGTGGGATTTTTGGTGAACAAAATGGCGCTGGGGTAAGTTTTCTCCGAGTACTTCGGTTTTCCCTGCCAATCTTCATTCCACCAACTGCTCCACAATCACCCTCACCTATCATCTTGGGCTGGTACAATAGGTCAGAAGTGGCCGTAGTACAAGGGACTTAGTCTCACCCAACTAGCAATAAAAAAAAATTAAAGATAGTTACTAAGATAAAACTCTGAACTCTTTCAATAATTACCCGGTATGCTCAAGACCAGGTTGATATAGTATATCAGTATTACTAATCAAACGGTTCCGTCTTCGATCCTAACCACCGCCAATAATATCACAAATATGGCGCAATATTAATATCTCTTTCTACAACGAAAATGGCCTGAAGACGACGCGAGTAGAGTAAACTTTCGGAATGGCTAACACTGCAGCAAATAGCCTTAATAATTGCCATGTAATGAATGAATCACTGATATATTACCTGTACGTCGGTTAAAACAATATCTACACGGCACCACATCCCAGAAGACTGCTTTCTTCATAGTCACCGCCGTGAAAACCTCAAATCTTACCTAATGAAAGAATTTGTGGCCTCTTTTAAAAACAGACCCTGCTATTCTAATGTTTTCCTGCAACTGTAATGCGTTCACAAGATCACTGCATTTATTAACGACTGAAAAATAATGTACCTTGAAATCAGTTATTCTTACAGCTCGGTCAATCGTCATATCGACACGCACTTGACTATGCAGTCGGAGAGATATGTTGCCGTAGGGTGTAGTCATGGCCGTTATGGCGCTTGGCTCTTGGGCATAATCACACCAGTCTTCCTGCAGGGAAATCAGAAGACCTCGTCTTGCGACCTCAAGTTCAAGCTTTATATAACAACAATTCACACAACACACTCTCTTAATTTAAATACAAGTACGGTACCTGTGTGGCGGTCTTGTAGATGTACCAACTGAAGAAGGAATTGTCATACTTTAATAGCCCTTATATTATTATTATTATTACAGTCGGCGTGGCTCAATCACTATAGAGACTAGACTACGGAACTGAAGACCGGAGAACCGGAGTTCGATTCCATGAGGTAGAATATATATTTCTCGTAACTACCGTGTCAAGACCGGTTCTGGGCCATCCATCCTCCTATCCGAGTGGTAACAAAGGCCCTATCTGTGGGAAGAAAGCGGCTTGGGCGTGAAACTGACTACTCACCTCCATTTAGGGCTGAGGTTAAGAATTTCTGGAGGTATACGTCCACTTCCCATACGCTTTCATTAAACACAGGTACATTTATTATTATTATTATTATTATAAAGGAATTGGATTTAATTGAATTATTGCAATCTGCAAATCCTTTTATGGTGTTAAACAGACATCAGGAGTGGAAATTAGTGGATTAAAATTCCTGTTCGTGATGATTTCAATTTACTTACATGTAATTATTATCTTTCCACGAATTTGAGTGCCAAATTATTTGGAATTAGTTTTAGTTTTTGTTATAAAATGTAAGTGCACAGTCTTATAGTGTGATTTTACTTGTTGACTTCAATGTACCAAATAACAATTGGTCTAACGGTACTCCACAGCGCAACGCTTATTAACGCAATACGATTAAAGGAACCCGATTATGCTGCCATTCGTTTCCTCGGGCTCAATCAGCAAAACAACTCTGTTTCTGACAGCTCGTTACTAGGCTTATTATTTTTTAATATTAAGGATCTAAATGTTCATATTACCATTCAGTCCAGAACCTTTCGTCTTCTCGTCTGCTGTCCAAAACATTAAAATTAGAATATACAAAACTATAATTTTGCCTGTGGTTCTGTATGGGTGCGAAACTTGGTCTCTGACATTAAGGGAGGAACATAGACTGAGGGTGTTTGAGAACAGGGTGTTGAGGAGAATATTTGGACCGAAGAGAGATGAAGTGACAGGAGGTTGGAGAACATAATGAGGAGCTCCATAACTTGTACTCTTCTCCAAGTATAATTAGAATGACCAAGTCAAGGAGGATGAGATGGGTAGGGCATGTAGCACGAATGGGAGAGCCGAGGAATACGTATAGGATATTGGTGGGAAAGCCAGAAGGAAAGTGACCACAGGGAAGACCAAGGCGTAGGTGGGTGGACAATATTAGAATGGATCTTAGAGAGACAGGATGGGATGGTATGGATTGGATAGATCTGGCTCAGGATAGGGACCAGTGGAGGGCCCTTGTGAACACGGTAATGAACCTTCGGGTTCCATAGAATGCTGGGAAATTCTTGAGTAGCTGCAGAATCGGCGGCTCCTCGAGAAGGGCTCAGCTCCATGAGTAAGTAATTAATGTTCATATTTCAAGTTGTTTTATGGTCAATGCTGACAGTTATTATCTGCCATTTGTGTTGGACTGTAAATTAGCTTGAGACTGTCCTCACATTTTTCTGACAACCAATCTTAATTACGCTAAAAGTATCTATTTTCTTACTTTACATTACTACTCATATCCGGCTGGTTAGGTGGAGCCTAAAGATTGTGGCTTGCCATGCATCTGACATAACTGATATACATGTATAGTAATTATTTCCATGGTATTCATCCGTTCTATTGTGTTCAGAGGGATCCAGATATAACAGAAGACCAGTTTTACAGTAGATCTACTATTTTCTTGACACGCGTTTTAGCAGTATATTTTCATAACTGAGTTATTAAATTTTTATATTCGTTCAAATACAAAACTTACACCAATTTACACCAATTACCAAATTTACCTAAAATGTTCATCAAACTGTATCGTTTAACTAGCTGAATATGTAAGGACATCAGCCTCGTCTTTTTTCAAGATTTATGATTTTCTGCTTTTCTAAGTGCGTACTAATTAGCAAAATTCATACGCTTACTTCTGATAAACAAATCTTTATTAGGTAATAAAGTATCCGAGCATACTGTTGCATTGGCTGATCACTACACACACACACACACACAAATACCAGCCACCAAAGTAAGTGTAACAAAGATACCATCCACAAAATACACATAACTGCAAAATAAAAACGCAGATCAAAAGGACTATGAATACTAAGACACGCAATGCACCATTTAAAATAATTTTTAATCTATTTTAATGAAACCAAGTTGGTTTTTAAAATAATAAACTTTTAGAGCTCAGGGCTCGCCGGCTGTATATTATTGCAGTGCAATGTAAAAATTCACACAAATCATATGTACTTGATGATGGCTCTGTGTGGCCGAAACGCATCATGAATTGGCATGGAAACTTAGTCTAAGTGGCGACACGACTAACGGTCTGCCGAAGTTACTTTATTAGTTCTTTCTATGTGATATGGATCCCACGTGAATGGCTTTCCATCGTTACCCAGAAAAGAGGATAGCCTTATGTGAAGGTCATATTTGTCCGTCCGTTACCTACATATAAATAGGAATCATCATCATCATCATCATCAGTAATCTGTCAAGACGACAGGTCCACAGTCTCTTCCAAAACAATTCCTCCACTTAATGCGATCTAGAGCTTTCTCCTTCAAATGACAGTATCCTCTTCTGTCCCCAAAGTCATCCAGCATCTTCTTACGTCTTCTTCCTCGTCTTCTTGTCACTTATATCCACCCATCTATCTTTCCTTCGATAACTTCTTTTAGAAGGCAGTTTCTGCGTAAAACATGACCAATCCAATTAGCCTTCCATTTTCTTATTTCGTGCAGTATATTCCTCTGCTCACTGACTCTAATTAACACTTCTTCATTTCTCACATAATCGGTCCAACTGATCTTCTCCATCCTTCTCCAACACCACATTTAAAAAAAAAAAGGATATGAAAATAAAAATACTCGTAGGTCCTGTAGTAACGTATAGCAATGAGACATGGGTGTTATGGCTGGGACAAGTAGAAATAGTGGATGCTAACAGAATGCCACGGAGAAACTTGTATGTGAAGATCTATATTAAAAAATTAAGAGGTAGACCAAAATTGAGGCGGTTTGATGATGTCAGAGACGACCTTAGGATATTGAAAGTTAAAGATTGGAGATCAACTGCGATGGACAGAGATGTTTAGAGGCTGTTGGTGCAGGAGGCCAAGGCCCACAAAGGGCTGTAGAGCCAACTGGCATGTATATGGTATGTCTGTTACATACTTTCATGGCCCAAACTGTCTGACAAAGGTTCTTAAAATCCAATAGTGGATACTCACTACAGGTTCCTGGACAGTTCCCATTTACAGCCATACTGATTCGTAATAGAGCTTAGTTTACACAAGATTATACGTGAACATTCCCATGTACCATATAAACCATGTCTAAGATCTTGCTGAAATTCCGCATGAAAGATTTTAGACAAACATTGCTGGATGATTAAGATTTTACGTGGGTCCAAAAATAGATTTCTCCCGAGAACATGATAAATAGCTTCAGAAATTCTGCTGAAATTCTATATGAGAGATTTACACCAATTGTTGTAGGGCAATTCCGACTATCAGTTTCATTGAAATTTAACATGGGAGGATTCCACGAAATGTTCCAGCAATGTTCCGATTTATAGTCACTGTTTATATAAAGATTAGTTTGCATAAAACTATAGACTTTTTCATGTATCTTATGAACCAATCAACAAATTTTATTGCTATTCGACACAGGAGACTTTCACTGATTTGCATTTCATTATTCTAATTTTAAGAAAGATTAATGGACTTCGAAGAACAACGTTAGTAGTTCTATATACTACATTACGAATTAAATCCTTTCCAATGTTGCTTTATTAAAGCAAGACGTCATGCCTTAACGCATTTAGACCAACACAGCAAAGTCCGCCACCATCTTCATCATCATAACCATCACAATCTTCAACAACAACAACAACAACAACAACATAATTAACATCAAGGAACAGATCGTTCGACCTTTTCCAGTTTCAGAATTTATATTTCATCCATTCGTCTTTCATAAGTATCTTTTTTACGGTCAGTTCCGTAATTTAATGTTTTATTTTAACAGCATTCAACTTTCATACTTTCAATGTGATTAATAGACTACGGTTCGGTTTTTACCAAATAGTCTTGTATTTAATTAAAATAAATTTAATTTGTTGTGAATAATTTTATTGTTCTACCGCCATCTTTGAGGCGATTGTCTAGATAATGTGGGATCCTCAACGTCTCACAACCCTATGGGCCTTCACGGCTTGTTAAAGGGCTAGCTTTACTTCACTTTACTTTTACCCAATAACTTAAATTCAGTAACAATTTCAGCAACTTAGTTTCAGGACCATGAATTCCATTTTTATCGCTTTCTCTCATATCCCAAAATTCGCTGCAATACACCATACTACGAGTACGTAGAATGCCATTCTTCAGCATAATTTTATCCATGTATATTTTAATTTAATTTTCTCATTTAAATTAATTTAGGGTCCAGTATTAATTAAACTCCTGTATTTTGTTACTGCTCTCGCTTATGTTTCCATAAAAGCTAACCTTGCATGTGACACTTATAGCTTGGGAATCGTTTGATTTCTCAGCATAGACCGGCATGTTAAAATAATTCTGGGTCCCTTCCCGCAAGGTATACAAGTGTTCTTTGCATCATATGCATACTTCGGGCTCCTACCACCGGGTCGTTTGGTTACAGTACAGTAACAAGTGCATTAACCTTAATTTATGGACCATATAGGATTCTTAATAAGGGCAAGACACAAAAAAATCCGCCTTCTAGATACATACCGTATAGACGCGAAAATCCTTGGTAGTACAGTAAGGGGTCTGGAAAGATGTGGATGCATTCCTGGGACACCAGATGCCAGCTGCTGCGGCTGTGGTATTATATGTGGTGTCTGTCTGAGGAGGCACCAACCCCTCGGTCCATTGTTGGGAAGAAGTGGTATCGAAAAAATTGGGAAAGTCAGTGAATCTCTGTTAACAGGCATGTGAAAATATTACGATAAAATTGGCGAAATTTTATTGCTGTGTACAAATCACGAAATATTTATGAACCGTAGCAAATGATACAGGACATGTGACATAGCTCAAATATTTTGGAACGACAGTAAAAATCAAAATTTGATTCAGAAGGAAATTAGGAGGAGATTGAACTCGGGTAACGCTTGCTGCCAAAGAGAGATTAAGTGACGGGAGATTTGAGAGAACTGCATAACGAAAAGCTTCATAACCTGTACTCTTCGCCGAGTATAATTAGAATGATCAAGTCAAGGAGGATAAGATGGACAGGGCATTTAGTGAGAATGGGAGAAAAGAGGAATGCATAGAGGATATTGGTGGGGAAGCCAGAAGGAAAGAGACCACTAGGAAGGCCAATACGTAGGTGGGTAGACAATGCTAACATAGATCCTAGAGAGGCAGGATAGGGTGGTATGGACTGGCTAGATCTGGCTCAGGATAGGGACCAGTGGAGAGCTCTTGTGAATAAGGTAATGAACAGTCGGGTTTCATAAAATATTGGGAAATTCTTGAGTATCTGCATAACTGATGGCTTCTCAAGATGGGCTCAGTTCCATGGAATTGGATTAGTTAGATTAGGAAATGACATAGAATCTGTAAATTTAGCAATAGAGGAAAAGAGTAATTCAATAAATTATGTAATATCTCAATGCGCTGCTTAGGCCTACTCAGTGATTTCAACATTTATTTACTGTCCACATAACTATATTATTACAGAATCAATAACACTACACACACCACACTGTATATGCAGTAATTAGTAGCCTTGCATTTAATTAAAAATTCATAGCATTACAAAGGACTTTAATTAAGAACTATAGGTTTCAGAATTATATACACCTATAGAATATAGAGGTCTATATCATGTCTTGTGCCAGTTTTTGCACGGTTAGGTACTTAGGACAAAATAATGAAGTCCGATTTTGGTTATGTAAATAGAGGTTATACCGAATAAATAATACGATTCATAATACTAAATTATGTCTAAAATCACTTAGTAGTTTCATAGTTGAAACGTTTGGACAGACACAGCCTCCATTATATGTATACACCTCTTGCAATTTGTGCATAGAATGCACAAGAAGTTATTGCTTTTAGAATCGAATACGCTGTAGGCCTGCAAAATGTTATTTATAAAACAAAAGAAATTCCGTGACCTGTAGTCCGCATGCGAACTATACCGACTGAGCGACCGCCGCTTGTCGGCGAAGTTAGTGCCAACTTTGTTATTTATAAAACACTTAATTTATTATAAGTAACTTCTCTTCGACTGACAGACACAAAAGGAGTATCTGTTTCTTCAAAACTCAACTGTAAAATTAATTCCTCTAACAGAGTATAAACACATGCTGATGTTTAAACCTGCCATTCTCTCGCTCTGGAGTCTGAAGAATACGGTGCCGAATCAGGAGCTGTCTGTGATTAGATTTCCGATTAGGCTTACAACTCCAAGGCACAAAAAATAAATAAATGTTATGAGGAGTTCACTGGATACACTGAATCGCATATAACAGGTTATGTATTTAACTAAGTTTTTGTCCCAGTTTTAGTGTGCATGGGTATATAGTTAGTACTAAAGAATTATAACATCTCTTTGTAAACTGTATCTGCATTATGTTCTCGCAAAGCTAGTGCTCGAACAAATATCAAAATAATACTACAGTAATAAATTATATACTCAGCAAAACCGTTCAGATTACCAATCGCTCGCGAAGACGGTTAAAGAACGGAAGTGAAAATATCCTTGGCATTTTCAAGGACATTAAACCCTAAACCCTATATTTCAACATCCTAGGAAGGCGAATGTTTGGCAGATAAACAACATTTTTTAAAATAAAATCTACCCTGTGTCTGAGGAGCTCTAGGCTGTATGCAAGCGGAGTTCTGATCCTCTATTTCACCTACAACTGTGAATTTCCAATTCAGTCTTTTCCGCAATTCAATTATAAAATTATTCCCTTCCATTTTTTATAGATGTGAATGGAGAAGAGGTCAATTAATTCAATTTATATTGCGCTTCTTACCCCTAAAAGTGAAAGATTAGGGACTCAATAGACGTTAACAACTATTTCAAACTCACTTTAGATACACAGAATAATGTGTAAAGCAGTCTTTCTTCCACGGCCATGTGAATTGTGATATAATATGTTACAACAGTTGTACAACTACAAATATTCCGATAAAATAATATGTATAGTGAAGTAACAATCACAGTATAAACTGGAAAAAAGACACGAAAAAATGTTCACTTTGTAATTCAGTAATTTCGATTTCTTTGTAGCTAGTACCTGAAAATTAGTGTTATCCGCTTGTCCATGATACGATTCCGCTGCATATAAATTGCTGCGACTCGAAGGTAATGCTGTGGAATGTAAAATGCTCTTTCTGTTGTTGATGTAAGATGAATTGGCCATGGTAGGCATACAAATCACACTATTGTAGCGTAAAAAGATTGAGACCGAGTATCTCCTTGCAACAGTGGGCAGCAGAATGCTTTGACCTGTCAACACGCTGATCGTCATATCGTTGTCACACAAAAAAGAAAACAATTGCGATGCAAAATCGTCAGTTGTGCTACACTACACTACACAAAGGCAGTCTCCAATAAGCAGGCAAGATGTCTAGTTATTAAACATATTACCTGTCACTTGAAATATATACATACAAACTGATCAGTTAGCGCAGCAGGATGCTCAAATGCAGGATTACTCGTACATTGTCCATGAGTTCATTCAAGTTAATACGCTTGAAAATAATGTAGCTAACTTCGTTAATGTCACGTACGAGTATGAATATTATTCCTTGAAATATGACATATGTTAATTTGCTCCGTTGTGGATCTTCCCTGATAGACCCTGTATTAGTAACCATTAACAAGACTCTCTTCACAAGGGACCTGTGTATTAAACAGAATATTAGAAAATACTTCTTAGGTGGTACAGAACACACTGGCTCATCTATCGTTTGAGCGTACCATATTACCTCCTTTCTTATGTATAGGCAATATGATGCTTAGATTCCATTCATCCGGCATTGTTTCATTGATCCACGTATGGAGCAGACGTTTTTGTAATTATTCAATGTTTTCAATTACTCTGCATGAGACAAATCTATCCCTGGGGCCTTATTCTTAAGTTTCCTAATAGCTACTTCCAATTCTGCAGTTTTTCGTACCGGCTCTGTCTTCTTCGATCTAGTTTCTATTACTGCTCTCATGTAGTTCTGGCTTTTAGTGTTCAACAGTTCATCAAAATTCTCTAGCCATCTTTCAAGAATCGCCTCCCTATAATTGCACCCTGTTTGTTCCTACATAATGTCATTCTTGGTTTGAAATCTAGGTGGGCTTTACTTCTTTCCAGATAGAAAATCCTGCTTTCATTTGTACTTATGAGGTACTCAAGATCCCAACGTTTATCGTCACTGTATTTCGGTTTTTCTTGTTCATCCTCTTTTCCTCCCTTTAAACTATATGATGCCCTTCCACAAAATTTCGTGAATGTTTCCCGTGTTGCATTCCTTCATATGCCCTAATTTTGGTGCGGTAACAGTTCACATCATGTACCAAACCAGTCGTCATATTTCAGTTTCTCTACCTTTCACAGGATTGTCTGCTGTGGCCATCATGATATTTCTAAATGATTTACACTTCTCACCAATATTATCACCAAGATCTCTTAGTTGCTCATCGATTCTGCCAAATTAGCTAGCCGCCTGCCACTTCCTTGGATTAAAAATTCCGTCTCTGATCTCTGGGACCGCCTCTGTGGTCTAGTGGCCAGAGTTGCTGCTTACAGATCCAGAGGTCCCGGGTTCGATTTCCGGCGCTACCAGATTTTCTTAGAAGTGTGGCACGGGGTCCACTCAGCCTCGTGAGGATAAATGAGGAGCTATTTTAAGGAAATAGCGGCTCCAGTCTAGAAAACCGAGATTAATGCCCGGGGAATCCTTTGCGCTGACAACGCGACACCTTCTGTCAGCAAAAGTTGGCATTAACTTCGCCGACAAGCGGCGGTCGCTCGGTCGCTATAGTTCCTTTGCGGACTACAGTTTGTTTTTTGTCTCTGGTCAAGAAATTACCACAATCAGTGTTCTTTCCCCTTCCTGTCCTGCATAGATGCCTAGAATCAATTAAAAGTTGATCAGTCTGGTTGAATGTGCTCCACATCCAGTGTCTTCCAAGTTACTTTTTGTAAGTCTTTATCCACTGGAATAACGGTCATACATGATCTCATAAAAATCGAGAAATCAGTTTAAAAGTTGAGATGGTGATATGAGCGCAAATATACCAGCATTTATTTCCGTAAAAGGCACTTTATATACGTGATATATAGACATATTACATAGAATTTACACAACTCAGAAATACTGGCACTAATGGATTTACTCTACTACGTTAACGTTACATGCATAAGGAATGCAAACTACTGCGCTGTTCCAAGGTTCTTTGGTGGGAGAAGGAACAGTTTCAAGTGATGATTGCGAGATATCAGTACTTTGCTTCTGCATATTGTGTATATGTACAAGTACCCAATAATTTTCCTTTGAGTGAAATATAAATAGTGTGGCTGTTATGACCATCTAATGAAATTGCAGTGGCTGCAAAACAAGGTTCTCCACACCACTGGCAATTCTCAAAGGTGCACACAGGCCTGCAATTTGCACATGGCTTTCAAATTTCCGTACATATGCGATTATAGTATAACAAAATTATGCAGGTAACAAGCAGAAGTCATACAAAATCACGAAAATCCGCATTTTCGCAATATTGGACATGGTGAACTCTAACACAGAAAACATAAATGGTTTAAACTTGGCAGCAGTCAAGCACATGACTGTTCAAGTGACTAGACTGTCAGTGTAGTGTCAGCTACTGAGGCTAGGGCATGATCAGCTATGGTGAGCCTGGACTGACAGAGGCCTTGTGTATATTATATATACATAAGCATTGTATACCATGTAATAACACGTAAACTGCAAATATTATGTACATACTGACAACTGACTTAGTAATGACATAAATGGCATACACACCCTCTCATCTGAGAGGGTACCTCACATGGACAAAACTGTAACTGACAGTAACTAGTATCTGGCCATGAGCCCCAGATAGGACTAGGCACCAAGACTGACCGACCGTCAGTTGCAATGTGACTTTGAGTTTGACTCAAGTGTTCAATACATAATACCCATCTCATGAACACTGAATTACTTACTTTTCATGTTAATTAATCTGAATAATATATTTTCACCATGCCTCACTAATTTTTTATACAATAAAAGCATGTCAAATCATATTGTATTATAAATTTCAACCCCTTACTCATTTCCCCAACTGTAACACAGCCAGCTGCCATCTTTATATCATTATTTGCTATTACACCTGCTTTATTCAGGACATTAGACAGTTTTGTGAGTTTTATATCGAAATACCTTGCCTTTCATTAAACTTCCAAGTGCTCGATTACAATTGCATAACAGACCCTTATCCAACTTATATGTGCACAACCACACAAATTATTTACCAAAAGCATAAAATCTGAATATACACGCACAGTGAACCCTCGAACCCTCCCTCTCTTGCAACGACTTCACTAATAACATACATCACCAAAACAGTTGCAATCTATATTCCCTACAGAATGGACAAACTATATTGTAAGATGAAGCATCAGCTAAACAGTAAGTAAACAATACAACTACATCGACACCAAAATCAATAGTTAATTATTCAGTTATTCAGTATAGAGGAGGTGGCTTTCCCATGCACCATGAGTAAGTCTATTGTACGTCCCCCTTTAATTTCTACTGTCGCCATACCTTACCGATAGTGGTGCCCGCTATCTCCCCTTTCTGCCAGCGAGGTCGGCCCTCTACTGGCAGTGGTACCCGATAACTCTCCCCTTTCTGCCAGCGGGGTTGGCCCTCTGCTGGCATTGGTACCCGATAACTTCCCCATCTACCGGAGGCATTGGAAACTACTTGGGCGGGAAACTTGTTGCCTAATTTTGCTCAGAGGTCTCCTAGAGACATGAGGATCTTTTACGTGCCATAAATCTACAACATGGGACCCATGGCTTAAAGTCCCTCCTGGAGGACTTGTTCCCTGAATTTTTCTGCCCTTAAAAATTCCACGACTTCCGCCAGGTTTGAACCCACGTACCTTGAGTCATGAGGTGGGAATGTTAACCCTAGACTACGGAGGCCGCTAGTGTGTGACTATGGTAATCATGTGTTTGCCTGATGATGACTTTAATAGCCAAAACATGTAGCCAAGCTAATTTTAGCCTTGACCTTTGGACTCTTAATAAATTGTATATAACACAACAGGATGCACGAAATGAAAATTCTAACTTATAGCCTAGTCATTATACCGTCTGGGCTATTTCAGCTCTCATACTTTGCACATATGCAGATTTGAAATTCCCTTCACACGTTTGTTCAAATCATTTCCACCTGATGACTGAACCATTAACTCAGCGAATTTCAGACCAGCATATGAATGCTGTTAAAAATAAGATCTGATGAAGACCTAAGGGTGTCAGTGACAACACACCCTCATTCACATATCAGGTGGAGAATACCAAGACTACGGAGTCATATCTACAAGACCATAACACTGTTAACGGATCTGATCAACGCACTGCCTGCCAGGCAACAATTCTGTAAACATGGTCCAATATGCAACAACAGAGGGGGCTGTTTTTTGTGTCGGTGGTGACGTCATGAAGTGGTGTGTGTTGGTCACATGACATGTTTCCTGTGACCTGTGTTCATTCCTCGGCTATGTAAAGAGAGAGAATTTGTTTGGTTCAGGCAGAGTCAGCTCTTGGTAGATTAGCCATGGGAAGTTTGTTAACTGAAGAAGAGTACAAGAAGTCAGCCTGTGAACATTTAATGTGTGATTTAAAGGCTCTATGTGTGCTAGAGTGCAGTGGTATTGGGTGTGTGTGATTTAGGGAGGCTTTTACAGTTACTGTGTTATAAATCTGTGAAGACTAGTGGAGATAGACTGAAGATATTTGCACAGAGTGCTCTGTAGTGTGAAAATCAGTAAGTGTTATAATTATTAGGTTACAGGCTGTAGGTTGTCAATAAATCCAATTACCACTCCAAACCCACATCTTAATCACTGTGACACATGACAATACCAAAACCTGACACGTAAACATTCTCAGATCACTGTTACGCCAGTTTCATATCAGCCTGCCTAGAAGAACTAGGGAAAACCATAACATTCCATATCCTACCAGTGTCAAATAAGGAAACGTCAATATAAGAAGAGCCTATAAACCATGTAAATCTGATGATGAAGAGTACAGGCAATGAACAGAATGAAGACACTACATAAATGGGCAAACATTTGGAAAACATGTACTCCAAATTTGAGAGTACAGCTTCATTTCATCCACTCACTATTATACTACCAAATACAATATTACAGCTTCCCACTCATCAGTCCCCCAGTCATCTGCAGTATAATCTGAATGGGCAATATAAGTACAAGGCATTAAAAACATGTCTGAATCACAGAATTAAATTTTTCTTGCACTCAAATTCTGACAAGTTTAACTTACCACACAAATTTTGTTATGCAATGTACAGTAAAACATAAACTGTTCCTGTGCTCCCTTAAGCACATCGGGAAGGCAGATGGGGAAATGGAGGTATGGCTCCATACATGAACCTTAGCATTAGGATGGGAGTGAATGGTCAGCTTCATGCACTCACACCCCTGTAGATGCTGTGAAGAAAGGAAAATCTCCTAACCTTTGTGGGAATCGAATAAATGATTGCAACGTCTGGCATGTAGCCTAGTCGCTTATTCCAAGCACATAATGCAGTGTACTAGGATCTAATATTAAGCACCTAACTGAAAAAACACAAAGACTTCTTCACACAAATACTTACAACTTATGTACTGATCCAGTCCAGCACAATCAAATAAAAAAAAAATAGACATTTTCATGAAAACATGACAAACACTATGCAGAAACCCATCAACAAAATTTCCCAGGGTATATAAAAAAGATGCAAGTCATTTTTAACAATTTATTTGTGGCATGACTTTTCCACACATAACAGAAAGAATGAGAAATGCGTGACAATCTTTTCACTACACATATACCAAGGTACAACTGTTTAGTGAAGTTCAGATGTATATATTACAAAGAAAATGTATCCTTTATAATTCTTAAGCTATCATGAAGATTGTATAACTTAACCAAGCAGCCCTGAATCACAAGTTTGTAGTCATACACTACTTAGGACCGGTAATGTTCTTACTATAATAACAAAGAGATGTACACAAGGATTCTTATTACAGGCACAGATACTTCTTCAGAACACTTCAATTTGTTGATTCTGCAAGTTTCTCTGCCTTCTGAACCACCTCCTCAATAGGTCCAACCATGTAGAATGCAACTTCTGGTAAGTGATCATACTCACCTTGTAGAATCTGCTGGAATCCCTGCAAAATGAAAACACAGATGTTAAGAGCATAACCAAAGTATTCGTTACTATACAGCATAATTTACTACATTACTCACAAATAACTGAAAAAAATTCAAACAATGTTTCCTTACCAAGTATCTGTACATTTTTTCCTGAATGACATTCTCACTTCTTTGGAATAGTTATTATATAGAGCTTATGAAGGTTGGACAGTACTGCATACAGGCATAACACAAAAGCACGTGCAACAGGAATGGTGCTACATGACCACAGTCTTTAGAATGTAAAGCGACGTAATACACTGAATGGGTATGTATGAAGTTCAGTGTTCCCTATACAAATTCAATAAAATCCTTAACATTAACCTGGGAAACAAACTTCCCCCCACCTATTCTACTATTATATACAAATGAAATTAACAGAACTCTTCCTGGCAGTCTGATCACCTGAAACAGCAGCATAACACAAAGCTTTTCTGTAAATTAATATATGAACCAGGATTTTCTCAGCTGATGATGAAGCATTATCATCAAGAAACATTATTTGAAATATGGCTAAGACAAACAAATGCTACTATGGTAAAACTTTAATTGCAATTCCATTGTTTCTTCACTGCAGACTTCTAGCTTTACTATTTATTACATACAATTTTAAGTATGAATATTCCTTGAAAATCTAGGTTTGGAGAATACATAAAGGCATTACTCACTCATTTCATCTATTATCACCTGATCTTTACATGGAAATAAAAAACTGCCAGAAAAAATCTATTTTGAACTAGTCAGTACCTCAAATGATGACAATTCCTAACAATCTTCTCAGGCTATCCACTGCACCACTGTCGGTTCTTGATCACACACCATGCTACTTACCTTAATGGTTTCTTCCAACGGAACCAGTTTGCCCGCATGACCAGTAAACACTTCAGCCACCTGGAAAGGTTGTGACAGGAACCTCTGGATTTTACGAGCTCGTGCTACAGTTAGCTTATCTTCCTCAGACAATTCATCCATACCCAGGATAGCAATAATATCCTGAAGAGACTTGTAGTCCTGTCAAAAGACATGCTTTTCATTATGGTTATTTCACATACTGTAACTGAAAATTATCAGATTACAACAAACATTGTAAATCATAAATGAAGCAAAATTTGAAGAGACTTTCTCATCTCATACAACACTTATACGATAAATGTGTATTGTGAATGAGGTGACAATACCTGTAGGATTTTCTGTACACCTCGTGCAACATTGTAGTGCTCAGCACCAATGATGTTGGGGTCCATAATACGGGATGTTGAGTCAAGTGGATCCACAGCAGGATAGATACCTAGCTCCGCAATAGCTCGCGACAACACAGTTGTAGCATCCAAGTGAGCAAAGGTGGTAGCAGGAGCTGGATCAGTTAAGTCATCAGCTGGCACATAGATGGCCTGCAAGTTATGGCAAATGTTATGGACACACCTAACAGTTATATCCCTTATGTTTCTAGTTTTCAAACAAGAGAGACCAGGAGCTCCCTGTACAACTGTACAGTAAAATAGCTCGATCTTGGAAACCATTAGGAAAAGGAATATATGTACATAAACACTTTTTTCGCTTAGAATTACTAATACTATGATCTCCCTGAATACTCACCTTCCCTCCTGGGACATACTGTATATACATATATAAAACACAGATAAAGTTGAATAGTATTTATTGAGGTGCTAGACAGCACACCAAAGCACCTTCGAACCATGTTCCAGTTTTCTGTTAGGGCATAAAAGGCATGTACCTGTACTGATGTGATTGATCCCTTCTTTGTGGTGGTGATTCTTTCCTGCATGGTACCCATGTCAGTTGCCAAAGTTGGCTGGTAACCCACAGCAGAAGGGATGCGGCCCAGCAAGGCTGACACCTGGAAAATGACATTTGAAAGAGAAAGAATGAATTGCTCAAGAACAGGCTGATGAATTAAAAGACTAAAAGTAACACCCATCATATTATCCATAAAACAAAATGACATTGATTTGAGAAGAACTGGAGGGGGTATTTCACATTTCAGTCAAGGTACATTCCCTCAAAACCAACACATCCACTGAAATACAGAACTGTGATGAAATTTAGTATACACACTGGTCCCATAACCAAACAGCCTTGCCCATTTTCTTCTTTTCAATTTCTGTCAAGTGGCTTTGAGACACAGGGTGTTAAAATCACTCCCACCATGGTAAAACAAGGGGGCACAATCTCTGACGTTTCTCTTTAATAACTCCTCTGGAAATGCACTTACAGAACCGCTAAAGAGCTCAGTTTACAGTAAGCTTAAGAAATATTTTGTAACTTATTTCCAAAACTCATTAGAACTCAGTTCTTGTGGCCCTAGAATGATTTTTGTACACTCTTAACAAGAGTATGTATGTAGCTGACACTTCTGACAAACTTCAAACAAATCTCAGATGATACTTCTCTGCAATCCAAAGTCCATTAACATGTAGACCATTCACAACTGTGAGGTATTTTTGTATGTGGTTAGAAAGAATATTTCATAAGCTTCACAATGAGAGTTGTAATGTGCCTCCAAGTGCATTTTCAATGCTGATACTAAAGGAAAACATCACGGATATCAATTCCCCACCCTGTGGGGGTGATTTTTCAACACTCTGTATCTGAAAAACCACTCAAGAGACATTAATGGGGGAGGGGATTGTATGGCTATAGGACATCATATTCATTAAGACGCTCAAGCAAACTAACCTCTGAACCAGCTTGGGTGAATCTGAAAATGTTGTCAATGAACAGTAACACATCCTGTCCTTCTTGGTCTCGGAAATATTCGGCAACAGTGAGGCCTGTCAGAGCCACTCGAGCCCTAGCACCAGGGGGCTCATTCATCTGGCCATACACCAGCGCCACCTGTAATACAACTGACTGTATCAAACCATTATTTCTTGATTCACTTATGAAAATGTAAGTACATATCAATTATATATAACTGGTCAGTGGAAAAGGGTTGGTATACCGCCTTTTCAAACTCTAGTCAGCATGCAGACATTAAGTATAAATAAGTGAATCTAGGAGATACACTAAACAGTGAGAAAAGGATGGGGATTGAAGAGAATTTTCATACCATTATACATAAAAATAAACTACTTTTGGAAAAAATATCTCCAAAGAGCATTTCAAACTCTGGGAAATTTCAATCAATGTTTCTGTGCCCCTTTTCTGCAACAATAAACCTGCCGACAACAGAACCACTTGATCATTAACTTCTGAGACGCTTTCATTGTTAGAGATAAAATTCCTTTTGATAATTTTATGAAAAAGTTAAATAGTTCCGTCCAGTGTGACTGGTTAAGATTTTTTTTCTTCCGATAAGTTTGCCAACCATACTGATGCCATATGCAACTCTGATTTTTGTCACAATCTTTGCTTAGGAGCCAGTGGTCTAAAAATTAATGTACTTGATAAGAATGTATTTGTTGAATGGTAAATTCATGTAACAAGGAGATGGGAAGTGACTCAAAACCGTAAACTGGTCTAAATCAACACAGGGTGCAGTGCCATCCCAACATAACAAGTCCGTAAAAATGCTCATTATCACAGGTACTCATACTATCTGAAAATGGTTGACATACCTGTCCTCAAAAACGTCTTCTGTACCTGTTATGCTTATGAAAATCAATTTAAGGTTTTTTTCCTCTCTCTCATGCACACATGCACGCACTCTCTCTCTCTCTACATATATAATATTTTGGAATATACAATAAAGACTAAATTATTTAGTGTCATTTGTTGACACACAAGGAATCAATGATCTGTGTCTTGTCTAGCCAATCAGGAATTCAGGAGGGCAATTATAACCACTGCTACTCAGAGACATATGAGTTATTAGCTGCTAACGATACACTTTTTTGCTTAGAATGGACCAATACTATGGCAAAGGTGAAACTGTCCCTGTGCTTAACTAATGCAGCACTACGCCATGATGGCGTATGAGGGAGTGCATGTATAGATTCACTTTTTCTTGACCTCAGCACTAGCTGGAGGTGAGTGGTCAGCTTCATGCCCTGGGGAAACAGCCCCCAGTACCCACTGGATAGGTTAGGTGGACCCCAGAGTTGGTCTGGATGACGTGCAGAAGAGAAAATTCTTTACCCTACTGGGACCTGAACTCCGACCCCTCAGTCTTCCAGCCTGTAGACAGTTGCTATATCAACTATGCTATCCCGGCTCATACCGACACTATGACCTCCCTGAATACTGACCTTTCTTCCTGGGATACTCATATTGTATATACATATATATTAGAGTTACATGTAAAACTGTAAATAGTAGGCATCCACAAGGTAGCAAACTCTTGACAACTGACTATGGAGAATGCTAACATGTAAGACTGTAAATACAGGTGACATGTACTACTGATTTTGACCGCAGTAAAAATATGACTGGCTGGCAAGGGCCAGCAGCAATTGTAAACGACAGACCCATCCTCTCATTAGAAAGGGTGCCCCATACGAACAAACTCGTAACTCTCTAACAGTATTAAAATCTGGTCCTGGGCATGAGATATGGATTGACACAAAGACAGACTGGCCAACTGACCGTAGGTCATGACATAACTTTGACTTTAACTTTGCAAGAGTTGAGCTGAGTTCAGTTGGCTGGTTAGTTGGTGAGTGACTGGATTAGTCAGTAGTAAGTTACTGGGTTAGAGAACTGCTGAGGTACAGTTGTTGTGAGCTGTTGCTATAAGAAGCTGGTAGCTGAGGCCGGGAATAGTTCAGCAGAGGAAAGGGAATGTCCACCGTTGGAAGCTGCTGCCAAACAACTGCTAGCGGAGACTTGAGAACACTAGTCTGCGACAGTAATTTATAAAGTGTAGTCATAAGTTGTATGTTGAAGAGTCCAATAAATCTGATCAATCTGAGCCCCGTCTGTAGTTCACTCGATCATGTGACAGTACTTTCTAATTGTTTGGCACCTAAAAAGCTATTCCTTAGTTACTACATATGAAAGTTAATGTAATTAGGAAATACATTAGAACATGACTCTTTCAATGATTCTGATATATTTTGTTGGATATCCAGCTTACACAAGTTAAATAATACCCGAGGAAGATGAATTGCACCAAGTAGGATAATCAAAACCTGAGGCAAAAGACAATTAAGGTTGCCCTGTTCTCTCAGCAAACCTCATGGGTTGTCATACACTACATACGTGAACCAGAGCCACAATTCCAAACAAACAGCTACCTTGGAGGTCTTGTCCTTGAGAGAAATGACACCAGACTCGATCATTTCATGGTACAAATCATTTCCTTCACGCGTCCTCTCACCAACTCCAGCAAATACTGAGTAACCACCATGAGCCTTGGCTACATTGTTAATCAGTTCCATGATCAACACAGTTTTGCCAACACCAGCACCTCCAAACAGCCCTGAAAATATTGCGATAATAGACACAATGAAATGCAGATCTGAGGGATATGTTACTGTAGTCTGATATTTTCATAAAAATTACAGTGATGTGTGAATGCAGTTGTAATGTGAGTCACAATGACATAAACAGTTCACCAGAATGGTACTCAGTTTGTGGTCAGTGGATTTTTATTGATCTACTCTAAAACCTTCTCGGGAGTGAAAAAAATTGGATTTTATTTAAGCAGTGAAGCTGACTATGATACCTACAAAAGAACAAGAGATACAAAGAATCTGTCTGTCTTTGTTTCACACATCATCTGTCCCCACTGAAACAACAAATTTTGAAGCATTTCCTGATACAATGGATAACATAGTTATTTAAGTTGATATGTTAAGTGGCTGGGTCTGTACCACGTTATATAAACAATGTTTTTTGTTTGTTTTTTTCAGTTTGGTTTCATGTGACTGTCAGGAGGGATGAGAATGTTGAGATAAAACCCAAAGACACTTTTCCCGGCACACATTCAAGAGTACGATTCTTTGCTGATTATATTAGTTTTCCTGACTTTTTCTTTCATATTTTGGCTTCTAGTTCTGAGTGATCCTCTTAATATGAAGAACATCTGGGATGCTGAAAATCCAGTATTTTCTGCAACACTAAAATTTAATGTTCTGAAAGAGTTAATGAACTAATTTTTTAAAAGTGGTCATTCTGAATACTTACCAATTTTTCCACCCTTTGCATAGGGAGCAAGAAGATCCACTACTTTAATTCCAGTCACCAGGATCTCTTGCTCCACACTCATGTCTACAAACTCTGGTGCATCTGCATGAATGGCTGCAAACTTTGTGGTGTTAATTGGACCCCTTTCATCAATTGGTTCCCCTTAAAAAAAAAAAAAAGGATAAATTTCCATGACATAATGTAGTAAGTTCATTAAGCAAACCTCTGAAACTCCAAAACTCTTACCAATTACATTGATGATCCTTCCTAATGTTTCTGCTCCTACAGGTATTCTAATAGGAAATCCTGAATCCAGAACTTCCTGACCTCGCACCAGACCTTCAGTACCATCCATGGCAATTGTTCGGACTGTGTTTTCTCCTGGATACAAGAAAAAAAAAATTACCAGTTACAAATGGGGGGGATGGAGAGGCATTTATTTGTTGCTGTGATCCACAATGCCTACCCAAAACATTACGGTGACACTGCTAACACAGTACTGGCATCTAAAGGGAGGGTGATGACAATCATGCTGCCCCTGTTCAGCACTGTACCACAAGGAAAGAAATAATTCTGTCTAATCATCTTCTATGCTTTTGTGCTGCTAAGAAATATAACAGGAGTGTTGTACTGGCTCAGTAGCATAATTAATACACTTCTGCAGGTTACCTTTCATTAAATTTTACACTTGTAAAGTACTTTGGGATAAATAGTAACTTTACTCTGACCTGGGAAAAATGTTCTTTGGTTGTGTATAATTTCTGACTTTCTACACATCACTAGGTTCTTCTCAATACATAACTGATATCCTCAATGTGCAAAAAGGAATTCAAGTGATAAATTCACTAATCATTTATAATTTTAAGTCAAACACATTACAAAGTATCATTGGTGTTAGTATGTTTACGGACAGTAAGTCAAGAGGGAAATGATCACACATTACTACCAACTACTAACCTATATTCATATTGTGCCATGTTTGTGTTGTCCACTGCATAACAGCTCGATAAATACATTTCCATGGCAACAGCTAAGAATGCAACAGAAGAACAGTTTTCCATTGGGTCTGACATGAAAATATATGAGTGCCAGTGCAGAACATTAGCAGATTATCAGAATCTAATCGCTATTCAAAAGTGAGCATTTAAGCACCAACATTAAGCTTACTCTCCATATGGTACTGATCTGTGCCTGTCCTGCCTGGAAATTAGCACCACACACCTACCTCTTAAAACTGCAGTGCCTACAAAACAAGGTCCTCTGAACCACTGGAAATTTTCCAAGGTGCACACCAGTCTGCAATTTGCATATGGCTTTCAACCTTCCCTACATTTATGATTATATAACAAAATTGTGCAGTCAACAAGCATAAGTCATACAAAATCATGAGAATGAACATGTTTGCAGCATAGGAAAAGGCGAAGACAGACACAGAAAATATAAGAGGCTTAAACTTGGCAGTGGTCAAGCCTTTGACTGTTGGAAGTGTATAAGCTGCTGTTGCAGGATAAGATACATAAGATGGGCATAATCTGCTTTGCAAAGCCTGTACTGACAGAAGACTTGTGTGTAGTGTGAAAGGAGTTTTCAATAACATGCTATATGTGCAATTCATACACTTTATAAAATGTCAAGCATATTCATAACAGGCAAACCCATCTTCTCGTCAGAGAGGGTGCTACATAAGGTATATGACCACAAGGGTTCATAAGAAAAAAAAAATCTGATCGTGAGTCCCAAGGAGCTTGACGCCAAGATGAACAGATTGGCAGTAAACCACCAGTCATAAAGTGACTCTGACATTAGCAGGCAATGGCTAATGAAGACATACAAAATTTAGCGAGCGCTGTAGTGAGCAGTCAAGTACATGAATTAGTGAGAGCATTATAATCAGTTGTAGTTAGGAGTTGTAAGAGTTCAATAAATTCAATTATCAGTGCAAAATCTGCGAATGGTGACTACACTGTGACTATATGATTACAGGTGACTCTGTTGGCAGCCTCATTCTTACTTACCCAAGTGTTGTGCAACCTCCAGCACAAGGCGAGGTTTCCTGTTCTGAACTTCTAAAGCATTTAAAATTGGTGGTAGATTATCTTCAAACTGTACGTCAACAACAGCACCAATCACAGCTACTACTTTCCCAGATGCTCCCTTTGTCTTTGCCTGCGGTGCAGTCGCATAATACACGCTACCTAAAACATTATTTCACTATGTGAATTGTGTACAAGTTCTGAATATGTAATTCCCAGAATGGCTGCAGCATGTCACTTGGGTGCTGAGTCAGGCAAACTCATGTGCCCAAGCACATTTGGATATGTTCCAACTTGCGTTTACATGAGCCACAGACCAAATAAGTCTTTCGTTCCCAAGCAACAGAGGAAGTAGTACGTGTATGTGGTATTTTTTGCTTGGTGAGGGGTGGAATCCAGCTGGGTCCACTCGTTGGCCTATTGTACCTGCCCCAGGTGATTATGATGATGGAGAATTTGGTGGAATGAGATTGGCAGGGGAAACTGAAGTACTCGGAGAAAACCTGCCCCAGCGCCACTTCCTCCACCACAAGTCCCACTTGACCAGACCTGGGATCGAACCCGGGCCACCGCAGTGGGAAACCAGCAACTAACCCCTTGAACTATGGCACGGCCTGTCCATGGTACACTGCTGGTGGGGAAAAATGAGTGACGAGAATCTGGAGTAGTGGATAAACATATAGTTTTGTGTGAAGATTCTTAGAAGTACTAATGAAATGTTAGCCCTAATAACAATGGCTTATGGTGAACGCAAAATGAAGAAACTGACAGTGGCATGGCAGTTCAAGGAAGGGCGAGAACATGTGCAAGATGACCCAAGAAGTGGGAAGCCAAAAAAAAAAGCAACAGACAGATGCATATGTGGGCAGAGCATGAACCTTGGTATGTTCAGATCGAAGATTAGGTGTAAAACTAATAGCATAAGAACTGAGTATGAAGAGGGATAGAGTGCAACACATTATTATGGATCATTTGGGAATGAGAAAAGTTTCCACAAAGATGGTGCCTTGAACAGATGCCCAGAAACTGCGGCTTCACATTTCATCTGATCTTTTACACAATGCAGAGATCTCTGATAGGGTCATTACTGGTGATAAAGCATGGCGTCTTCATATGGCCCAGAAACAAAATGCCAGAGCATGCATCAGAGAACAAAGACTTCACCATGACAATGATCCTGCACACAATGCATTAAAACTATCCTCTCACGAAGGGCATAGCTTCACAAGTACAGTACTGTGGTGTGTTATATGTCGTCCATCACTGAACAACGAAACAATGGAAACCGTTAAGACTGTTGCGTAGGAATATACACAGGAATAAGTGTTCACTGCGTAACAACACTTGGTAAACACCCCTCCTCGATAGGCTGTGACATCGCGCAAGAGTATGGCGTCTACTGCTAAGCAATGCATAGGTACACACACCAGAAAACAGTACCTGATATCTGTTGCTGAGCAGCAATGTGTTCTCTAAGTGGTCCGTGCTGAGCCTATGTAAGGAGCAGCAAACACTATTTAGCAGTCTGAAGAGTGTCGCCATCGAAGGCAGTCTAGTATTCGCCGAGATACAGTGGAAGCAGTAATTGTGATACTGCAGGTGATAGTAACTGTATTCCTGACTCTAAGTAAGTGTGGATGAATGAGTTCAATAAATAATCACTGAATCCAAAGGCTACATGAAGTTATTTGTCGTGTGACATACCCAACACGTGACAGTATTTGGAAGGTGACAGCATCTGCTAGTGTACAGTTAAGTAAACTTTGCTTTCACAGGTCCATTCTGGGAATTAAAATTGTTGCAGCACCTTTAATTATGATTGTACCCTTCATGAAAAAAAACGTAAAATCAATCCTACCTTTATATAAATTTGAAGTGGAACTAGCCTGTAAGAAAACATTAATTTAAATGGCTTACAACTGCAATAGCTCCTCCATAATAATAACAGTTTTCAGCTCTACTATATAAGAGCAGTGTCTAGTATGAGGGTAAGTCAACAAGGAAGTTAAAAATGGATATAGAACTTAAAGAAATAAGAGTACTGATTTGAAAAATGCTTTTATTTCTCAACATAATTTCCCTGTACATTTGAGGCACTTGTCCCATCCTTTCACAAGCCCTTGAAAACCAGCAGCACAAAATTCTTTGGGCTGCTGTAAGAACCAGGCGTGTTCACACGGCATGGCCTACCCCATAATGCATGACATGTTAGGTTTCCACAAAGTCTGTGCACGACTGGTGCCACGCATCAATTGCTACCACGATGAAGTACACAATATGCTAGTCCGAATTGTCAAATGTGATGAGTCTTGGGTTCACCATTACCAGCCCAAGACAAAGCATGCATCAATGCAGTGGAAACATCCTGCGTCGCCTGCCAAAAAAAAAAGTTTAAAGTGACACCATCCTCCAGGAAAGTGATGCTCACAGACTTCTGGGATCACAAAGGCATACTGCTCACCGCATTCCAGCCTCAAGGCAATGCAGGATGTTTCCACTGCATTCACACACGCTTTGTCTCGGGCTGGTAATGGTGAACCCAAGACTCATCACCTGTGACAATTCAGGCTAGCATATTGTGTCCTTCAGCGTGGTAGCGATTGAAATGCTGTAATGCCAGACACATTCTTTGCATTTTGTGTTGTGTGGTCAGCATGCGCGACACCCATCATTCACACTTTGTGAAAACCTAACCTGTTATGCATTATGAGGCAGCCCATGCTGTGCGAAAACTCCTGGTTCCAACAGCAGCCCAAAGAATTTTATGCTGCTGGTTTTCAGGGGCTTGTGAAAGGATGGGACAAGTGCCTCAATGTACAGGGAAATTGTGCTGAGAAATAAAAGCATTTTTCAAATCAGTACTCTTATTTCTTTAAGTTCTATATCCATTTTTAACTTACTTACTGACTTACCCTCGCACATTTACGTGGAATCGACCTATATTGCAAGCACATCACAAAATTAAAGTGTTATAATACAAACAGGCACATGTTCCAAACTTGTCGCACTTCACACAATTTTTTTTATGAACTATTACTTATATATCGCTGAATTACTTAATCTACAGCTACTCTTAATATGTGGCTTAAAAAGGGCCGCCGCTGTTCGAAGGCAAACTTACGTAGTAATAATTACGTATCGGATCGTCTAATTTATATACTCACTGTTAACGGAGAGGGCTGACACGATTTTTGCGCTTTCATTCTGCAACTTTTGTGGTGTTAAGGAGGGTTTAGCCCCCCGCAAAACACCAGCCGCAACCCTTGATATTACGCTCAACATGGTGACCTACCGAGCAAAGGGACGAGTCACGTGATCACATTTTCTACTTGCGCAAAGTGATCAATTGCAAGACAGGGCGCGCGCACGGGTAAGGGAAAATAGCGACCATACCAACAATTTACACTCGACTTTCTCTCGGAAATAAGCCTCATTTACACAAACAAAATCTACTGGATTCAAGAAGCTTGAACCCGAATACAGAAATATAGGCATAACCGTCATGCTTTTAATTGTTCAGTTCACAACATACTTCGGCCCATATAAGCCATCATCTGTTCATCCTGAGCGATCATGAGAAATACACAACTGGTGACGAATTATGTAAATTACAGTTCTAGTGTGAAACCAAATACTTTGTGCATGGGCACACCAAGAAAACTGGCAACCGCAACGTAACCTCAATTTCCGAGAATTGTTTTCAGCCTGAGATGGACACGTGTTTTTGAATGGAGAAGTGAAAATGGAGGAAACGGCAACGCAACTCGAGGAGAGACTGAGAAACTCAATTTCCGGGCAATGGAGCTTTCCAGTCTTCTCACAATTGCGTTGCCTCGTGGTTTCCTAGTATCAGCTGCTGCATATAGCGCTGCATTGATGCATTTGTTTGTTAAGGTGGAATGAGAGAATGAGAGGTTGGCGAAGGTGTCGACTGTTTTTGTGCAGTTAATTGAGCAAGAGACTGGTGTATATGGCAAACCCCACGCAGTGTAAGGTAGGCGGCACAAAATATATTTGGCTTGGGAAAGAATTTCTCATGAGAAGGAATATGGATCCAGGTTAAATGCTTTCGAAACAATGTAAGTGCCTCAGTTTCAGTTGTCAGAAGAACGGATGCACCCAATGTGTTCTTTTCCTAATATTATATTTAAGCATCCTGTTGCATTAATATATCATATACTTCACATATATTTCCGTCTCAAATACAACCCTTCTTCCACATTATATGATTCGGCGATATACGGCCATCATCACGTGTCTTCTATCTTGCTAAAATTGTTGCGCTGTATGTCAAAATTTCGTATTGCGTGTGAACTCGTTATTACCTGATTAAAATAAATTAACATTAATTAAAACAAATTAATTCACATCCAGATGTTTTCATTATGGTCGTCGTCCTCTCTTCTCACGCAGTCTCAATCGATCTTAACTACCACCATATTATTACAGGATCGGCATTATCATCTTCCATTGCTGAAGGCAAGTGCACGAAATTAAAAAATACAATAATACATTGCGTCGGACGAACAAGCCCACTTAAGTTGATGCGAGCAACTAATCTAACATAATTTTCATTTCGTGTATCCTGTTTTGTTTATAATATAAGTAATAATACTCATACTAATATTAATCTATTAGGTATACCACATAGACACAACCTGGCAGATTGGTCTTGCATAAATGAGATAAAATACCTTTAATAGGCATCCAGATGGGCTCTGAGGTTCACCAAACCTCCTATCCAATGAGTACTGGGGGGCTCTTTCTCTGGGGATAAAGCAGCCGGGGCATGAAGCTGACAACTCACCTCCAGCTAGTCAAGAAAATGTGGATCTATACATCCACTCCTCTATATGCCTTTGTGGCATAGTGCCTAATTAGTTAAGCATGAGAATACTTTACCTTACCTTCTGGTTACAACTCAGATATACCACTCACCTAAACCTCTTAGTATATGGAGGAGACATTTTAAATTTAGTAGGCTTCACTAGGACATTGGTGTTTTCTCTTTCCTCAGCAGTTTTCTGGTTGAAGTCATGGACTCACAGGTACTACAAGCTCAAGATCCTGAAGGTCATGAACCAAACACTGCTGTGAGTTAAAGGAAACAATTTTTATTAACATTTATTTGTTATCTCATATTATTATAGCAGCACATTTGCAGTCCAGCTGACTGAGCATTCCATTTCTTCAACACTAATACCATTACCCCCACTTAGAATCTGGCCATTAGCCTCATAGTAACGGGTAATTTGAAGTCCCTGTTCCTCTTCTATGAAGGTTCCAGTCTAGTTAGTGGTACAGAGATGTTTGTATCAACTGCATCACAGTT